CCCCTGCTGCTCATCCGCAGCACCCACAAGGCCGCCTGCCCGGCACTGGGGCTCTCCCGGTTCTTTCCTTGGGGTATCCCCTACCTCTTCCGCTGAGTCCCATATCATCTGCCTTTAGGAAGCTTTTGAAAACCAGTCTTTGGTCCTGTCCCACCCTTGGCCTTCCTGAATAAACTCAGCCTTCTCTGCGGTTACAGCAGGCCCTTTAGGACTTGGCTGCCTGCCTCCTGCTCCAGCTGCTCCCGGCTCACCTCAGTCACCCCCCTCCCGGATCACCGCGAACTCCTTTGTCCTTAGATCTCAGCTCAGCCCTGCAGCCTCCCTGCAGACAAATAGTGTAAGGCTCCTGCCCCAGGACTCCCTGACCTGAGGAAGAGAGCCGACTCGTTCCTGCTTCCTGGGGCCCAGCTCAGGCCTCAAGACAAGGGTGCTGATGGCACCAGGCCCCGGAACTGTGTCCTCAGAGCTCAGAGTGCTGCCACCAAGTATGGTCAGTCCACTTTCCACCCAGCTCAGAGTGGTAACTGGAAAAGGTCTGATCAGCAGAGAAAATTCAGAGAAGGAGTTAAGTAACACACTCCTCTGTTAAGAAATATCTATTCGGGGCACCTGGGGGGCTCAGTCGTTAAGCATCTGCTTTCAGCTCAGTTCATGATCCCAGGGTCCTGGGATCGAGCCCCGCATCGGGCTCCCTGCTCAGCGGGAAGCCTGCTTCTCCCTCTGCCACTCCCCCTGCTTGTGTTCCCTCTCTTGCTGTGTCTCTCTCTGCCAAATAAATAAATAAAATCTTTAAAAAAAAGAAATATCTATTCAAAAATTGGAAATAAGGCAAAAGGATGACTGCCAGTCCCAATTCAATGACGAGTAGATTGATAAGATGTAAATAATTTCTGCCAGGTAGAAAAGCTGGCTCTGGAGGTGGTGGTTTTATTACCCTGTAGGTCATTAACCAGTTGGGTATGTAGCTCAGCAGTCTCACTGCGACACTTTTTTTAATGCCTCTAAATACTTAGGTGTCTCCAATTCTCTTTGAACTCGCTCTTCCTCTTTGCTCTACCCTCCTTAAGGCATTAAGTCATCTCTGACACTTGGAGACTGTCCCATCAAGATGTCCAACTGGACTCAGTGGTCAGAGCCAATTAAACTTTGTTGCAGGAAAAATGTGTCACCTGAAACACCGCCTTTCCTACCTCAGGCTTCCTGGCTCCACCCTATGATTTATTATTGTTGTTATCTATTTAGAAATATTAGGTACACGGATATTTTCTTGTAAAATTTGAACAGTACTGTCAAAGTCCCTTCAAGCATCACCTCCCATCCTAGGCCTGCCCTAAAGTTGACTACTGTTATTCTGCCATATATATATATTGATATATATATACATATATATCAATATATGTATCAGTTGCAGAACATATATACTCTAATTTATGTCTATATACATACATACATGTTAAACAATGTGCATGTATACATACCACACACATATATACATAGACAATATATGTGTATATATGCACATGTTCTATTTAATATACGTGTATATGTAGTATATACATATATAGAAATGTACTATCATTTTAGTAGCTATGGGATTTTTTTTCCCCGTAAAAGGTATTATACTGGAGCTATTGTTTTGCAGCTTGCTTTTTCTAATTCAAAAATAGGATTGGAGATCTATTTTGGTACATGAGACCTACCTTATTCTTTTTCATTGCTCCCATGGCAACACAAACTATAAAATACCTAGGAATAAATTTAAGAAACGTGTGAGAATTTACATAGAAAGTTATTAAAGATTTCATTATAAAAAATTAAAACAAAAGGTTGTAATATTTACAGCCCTATATTTTATTTTATTTTTTTTTTAAAGATTTTATTTATTTGACAGAGAGAGACACAGCGAGAGAGGGAACACAAGCAGGGCGAGTGGGAGAGGGAGAAGCAGGCTTCCCGCGGAGCAGGGAGCCCAATGTGGGGCTTGATCCCAGGACTCTGGGATCATGACCTGAGCCGAAGGCAGACGCTTAACGTCTGAGCCACCCAGGCGCCCCAGCCCTATAATATTTTATACATTCTATAAACAATGAAATGTATGAAGCAAGAAGTGAAAATACACACACATGCACACCCCCAAGGCAGCAGCATTGTTTTTCCAGGTGGCTTCTCTACCTTTCTAAGCATATTTCTATAACTTGCTTTTGGGGGTTGGGTTAAGATGCCTCCTTTGGGAGAGTCGAACACATCCATAAATAGCTGTGATGCAGCTTGGGCCGCGCAAAATGCAGCAGCTGAGCCGCCCAGCGCTCTGGGAACTTGCGTCAGGGACACAGTCATGAGCACAGGGGTGGGGCTTTATTTAGGGCCGGAAGGATGAGGTGGCGGCTGAGTTGGACAGGGCATTCCAGGCAGAGGATTCGGTCTGGAGGTGGGGTGACATTTCTGCATGCAGAACCCTGACCAGGGTGGGACTGTAGGCCCAGGAGAGGAGTGTGGGGCTAAGCCAGGCAGAGGCTGCATGGCTGGTGTCCTGGCTTGAGCCTGTAGAGAGCCAGCTGGTGGGGGGGGGCGGGGGGGGCGGTCCACGGCCAGACCTGGGGCCCAAGTTCCAGCCCCAACAAACAGGAAGGGTCCAGGCTGTGAACCGTGAGCCCCCTGTGCCCCACAGGGTGGGGGCCATGGAGGAGCATCTCTTCGCTGCAAAGAGGGGAAGTCTGTACCCAGAGGGTCTTTCCAGAATGCTGGAGCTGAGGATATGCTTGAGGACTTGGGAAGTCCCCGTACCACAAACCCTGACCACAGCAGGGTACTGCCCAGAGATGGTGCCAGGAACCCTGGAGGCAGCCACTAGAACTCAGTGGAAGCTTGGGGAGGTAGATCTGCCTCCTCAGTCTGTCTCATCTCATCAGCTGGCAAATGGATGTGTTCGTCTGGCGTCATGGGTCCCAGTTCTGGGACTCCCTGGGAGTCCCTTTGAGAAGCACACATTCCCGAGGGAGCTGGTGCCTCTGGTGCAGGCCAGCATTGTGGGGAGGGTGACACCTGCTCCCTGGAGTGAGGCAGGCCCTTCACCCCCTCAGCCCCTCCCCTGCCAGGCGGGCAGCAGAGTGCTTGGCAAGGGAGATGGCACTCCAAGCCCCTCAGAGAAAGTCAAAGTAGCAGGTCTAGAATTCAGATTTCCTGCCCCTCAGCGTCAGGTCAGGTCTATGGCTGGTCTTTCAGTCCCCCTCGAGAATCTTACCCCGATCCCTTTATTGCTTTGCCCAAAGTCGCCCAGCTAAGGAGCGTCAGCCCTAGTGCGCTAGGCCCACGTCTAGCTCTAGCCGACCTCCTTCAGTTTCACCTGAAACTCCCACCCCACCTCAAAAAAACCGAAGTAAAAATAGGTATTTACTGTATCAAGTAACAAAAGAACCCAGAGGTGGTCTCTGCTCTGGCATGGCTGGAGCCGGTGCTCTCCAGGGCTCTCTGCCTTGAGGCTCTGCTACCCTCTGGCGCGCCTTCCCTCCCAGACAGGCCTTCTCACACCACTTTGATAAAGTGGTTTATATTGTGCATGATAAACAGGAAATTCTTGGGTTTTTCTTCTATGATTTTATTTATTTATTTGACAGAGAGAGACACAGCGAGAGAGGGAACACAAGCAGGGGGAGTGAGAGAGGGAGAAGCAGACTCCCCGCTGAGCCGGGAGCCCGATGTGGGACTCGATCCCAGGACCCTGGGATCATGACCTGAGCCGTAGGCAGACGCTTAACGACTGAGCCACCCAGGTGCCACTGAATTGACCCCTTTATCCCTGGCAATATTCTTTGCTTTGAAATCTAACTTGTCTGGTCTTGATAGAGCCACTGCTGCATCTTTCTTTTCTTTATTATTATTGTTAGCACAGTCTATCTTTTCCCACTCCTTTACCGTTAACCTATTTGCTTCTTGAAAGTATGTTTCTTGGGCGCCTGGGTGGCTCAGTCGTTAAGCATCTGCCTTCAGCTCAGGTCATGATCCCAGGGTCCTGCGATTGAGTCCCGCATTGGGCCCCTGCTCAGCATGGAGTCTGCTTCTCCCTCTACCTGCCGCTCCCCCGCTTGTGCTCGCTCTCTGATAAATAAAATCTTTAAAAAAATAGGGGCACCTCGGTGGCTCAGTCGTTAAGCGTCTGGCTTCGGCTCGGGTCATGATCCCCTGGTCCTGGGATCAAGCCCCGCATCGGACTCCTGGCTCCGCGGGAAGCCTGCTTCTCCCTCTCCCACTCCCCCTGCTTGCCTTCCCTCTCTGTCTCTGTCGAGGAAAAAAAAAAAAAAAAGTATGTTTCTTATAGGCAGCATATGGTTGGGTACTGATTTTTTTATCCGCCTGACAAGCTCTGACTCAATTGGAGTGTTTAGACCATTTCATTTCATGTGATTATCAACCTGGTTGATAGTATGTTCCTGCTTGTTTTCTATTTGTCCCCTCTGTTCTTTGTTTCCTTTTTCCTCTTTATCATATTCTTTTAGATGGTTTTTATGATTCCGTTTTGTCTCCTTTCTTGGCTTGTTAGCTAAAGCCTTTGTCGTGTCATTTTGGTGGTTGCTTTAAGGTTTATAGTGTACATCTTTATTTATTTATTTATTTATTTATTTATTTTTAAAAGATTTTATTTATTTATTTGACAGAGAGAGAGACAGCGAGAGCAGGAACACAAGTAGGGGGAGTGGGAGAGGGAGAAGCAGGCTTCCCCGTGGAGCAGGGAGCCCGATGTGGGGCTCGATCCCAGGACCCTGGGATCACGACCTGAGCTGAAGGCAGATGCTAACGACTGAGCCACCCAGGCACCCCTATAATGTACATCTTTAACTCCTCACAGACATTCTATCACACATGTGTAATATAAGAACCTTTCAATAGTATGCTTCCATTTTGCCCTGCTCTACCTTCTCTTGTTTTCATATACTTTACTTATAAATTTGTCATAAACCCCACAATACACAATGTTTTGCCTTAAACAGCCAATTACCTTGTAAAGAGATTTAAATAATAAGAAAAAAAAGTTTTTTGTATTTATCCATGTGGTTGTCATTTCTGGTATTCTTTATTCCTGTTGTCTATCCACATTTCCAGTTTGTATCATTCCCTTTCTATCTGAAGGACTTCCTTTCACATTCACTGTAGCGTAGGCCTGCTGGTGACAAATTCTTTCAGGATTTGTATGTCTGAAAAGGTATTCGGCCTTTGTTTTTGAAATACATTTTTGCTGTATATAACGTTCTAGGTTGACTGCTTTTTTTCCTACCAGTACTATACAGATGTTTCTTCACTGTCTTTTGCATTGCTTCAGCGAGAAATCTGCTGTCATCCTGATCTTTATTCCTCTTTATGAAATATGTCTTTTTTCTCTTTGGCTGCTAAGATTTTCTCATCATCACCATTTTTAAGCATGTCGATTTATGTCCCCTTTCTTAATGTTTCTTGTGCTTAGGGTTCACTGAGCTTCTTCAATCTGAGGATTTATAGTTTTCATCAAATTTGGAAAAATTTTGGCCACTATTTCTTCAAATATTTTTTCCTGTCTCCTCCCCCATTTAGGTTGTATATTTGGCTTCTTGAAGTTGTCCCACAGCTTACAGCTCACTGATAGTCTGTTCATGGTCTTTTCTATCTTTTTGTCTCTTAAGTTTTATTCGGAATAGTTTTTATAGCTATGCCTTCAAGTATATTAATCTTTCTTTTGCAATGCCTCATATGCAATTAATCTAATATAGGTTTCGTTTCAGGCACTGAAGTTTTCAACTTTCGAGGTTTGGTTTGGGTCTTATTTTTCCTCACATGTCTCTACTTAACATGTTCAGTCTTTCTTGTGACTTGTAAACATATGGAACACAGCTATGATGACTGTTGAATGCCCTTGTCTACTAATTCGGTCATCTATATCATTTCTGGGTCAGTTCTGGTTGGTTTTTCTCTTTGTAATGGGTCCTATTTTCCTGCTTCTTTGGATTCACATTCTTTTTTCTTTTGAAGTTAAACTGGTTTCAAGGTAAAGTAATAACATTTATTCCTTATTCCTCTATTTTCCAAAATACATTTTTTCTTTCATTTTTTTAAAGATTTTATTTATTTATTTGACAGAGCGAGCACAAACAGGGGGAGCGGCAGGCAGAGGGAGAAGCAGGCTTCACCTCCTAAAAGAAGGTGATTAGAGTGGAATATATTCTTCTTGAATCTTTTTTTTTTTTGAGAGAGAGAGAGCTTGAGGAGGGGGAGGGGCAGGGGGAGAAGGAGATGCAGAAGCAGACTCCCCACTGAGCAGGAAACCTGATGTGGGGCTTGATCCCAGGACCCTGGGATCACGACCTGAGCTGAGGGCAGACGCTTAATGGACTGAGTCACCCAGGCGCCCCATACAACAATTTGTTTATCCATTCCTCTGTGATGGAGATTTAGGGTGTTTCCAGTTTGGGCCTATTCTTCTACAAGTCTTTGTATGGATATGTTCTCATTTCTCTTGGGTGAATACCTAGAAGTACAAATGCAAAGTCATGTGGTAAGTATATGTTTACAAGAAACTGCGAACTTGTTCTCCATTGTGTCATTTTACAGTCACACAACCAGTGCATGAGAGTTCCTGTTTCTCCACATCCTTGCCTATACTTGGTATCATTCGGACTTTTTTTTTTTAAGTAAACTCTACACCCAACGTGGGGACTTGAACTCACGACCAAGATCAAGAGTTCCATGCTCTACAGACTGAGCCAGCCAGGCGCCCGGTATTGTTCAGGCTTTTTAACTTAACACGTCAACTGTTCAGGTTTTTTTAATTTTTAATTTTTTTTATTTTTTAAGTAAACTCTATGCCATGCATGAGGCTCAAAGTTACAACTCCAAGATCAAGAGTCACATGCCCTAATGACTGAGCCAGCAGGGCACCCCAACTGTACAGGTTTTATTTATTATTATTATTTTTTAAGATTTTATTTTTGGGGCGCCTGGGTGGCTCAGTTGTTAAGCATCTGCCTTCGGCTCAGGTCATGATCCCAGGGTCCTGGGATCGAGCCGCGCATTGGGCTCCCTGCTCCGCGGGAGGCCTGCTTCTCCCTCTCCCACTCCCTCTGCTTGTGTCCCCTCTCTTGCTGTGTCTCTCTCTGTCAAATAAATAAAATCTTTAAAAAATAAATAAATAAAATAAAGTAAATGGGTACCCTCAAGATCCCTCCCCACCATTCCAGAAATCACTTGGGCATCCACAGGGGAGAGACACATTTGGTTTCAAAACTAAACAAACTTGAAAAGGCTGAAAATACACAATTAGAAAGGTAATTCAAAAGTGTGTTTTGAAAACAAAGAATCAGAATAAATAAGGTAAAATGAAATTGAAGGGAGAATTAGACATACATTTGAAAAGGAAAGGAAGGTACTGTCTGTTCAAAAGAACAAGAACTATGACATAAATCTGTAAGGAATTCATGGTTTAAGGGGCACCTGGGTGGCTCAGTCGGTTAAGTGTCTGCCTTTGGCTCAGGTCATGATCCCAGCATGCTGGGATCAAGCCCCACTTCAGGCTCCTTGCTCAGCAGGGAGCCTGCTTCTCCCTCTCCCCCTGCTTGTGCTCTCTCTGTCAAATAAATAAATAAAATCTTAAAAAAAAAAAAATTCATGGTTTAAGGGAATAAAATATCTAGGATGCTTTCTGTTAGTTGGGCACTGTTTACAGGGTGAATTGCCCCCCCATATGTTGAAGTCTCAATCCTCAATACCTAAGAATGTCACTGTATTTGAAGATAAGGTCTTTAAAGGGGTGATTAAGTTAAAATGAAGTCATTAGGATGAGGCCCTAATCTAACATGAGTAGTGTCCTTACAGAAAGGGGAAGAGATGCCAGGAATGGTCATATATAGAGGCAGCCAGAGGGCAGCCACCTGCAAGCCAAGGAGAGAGGCCTCAGACGAGTATATACCAGCCAAAACTTTGATCTTGGACTTCCAGTCTCTAGAACTGTGAGAAAATAAATTTCTATTATTTAAGTCACTGAGTCTCTGGTGTTTTGTTATGATAGCCCTGGCAAACTAATATAAGAATATAAAGTTCTGGGCGCCTGGGTGGCTCAGTTGGTTAGGCGACTGCCTTCGGCTCAGGTCATGATCCTGGAGTCCCTGGATCGAGTCCTGCATTGGGCTCCCTGCTCGGCAATGAGTCTGTTTCTCCCTCTGACCCTCCTCCCTCTCATGTGCCCTTTCTCATTCTCTCTCTCTCAAATAAATAAATAAGTAAAATCTTAAAAAAAAAAAAAAAAGAATATAAAGTTCTATTGATTTTATCATTTTTTGCTGGATCCACCTGAGTCTGAAGATGGAGGCTACTTTGGGTCTTTTGAGAAAACCTAGTATTGCCATTTCCTAACAGTGGAAAGCTAGTTAATTTCTCTGTACTTTGTGTTTTATCATCACTAAAACTGCCATCTAATAATAACTATACTAAGGGGTTTCTTTTGGGGGGTGGGGGGATGAAAGCACTTAAGTACAGCATCCAGCACCTGGCACACAGAAAGTGATCAATAGGGGTGCCTGGGTGGCTCAGTCGGTTAAGCAGCAGACTCTAGGTTTCAGCTCCAGTTATGATCTCAGGGTCCTGGGATCGAGCCCCACATCCGGCTCCCTGCTCAGCGGGTTGTCTGCTTGAGATTTTTCTCTCTCTCCCTCTCCCTCTGCTTGTATGCTAAAATAAATAAATCTTTTTTAAAAAGGTGATCAATAAACATTAGGCTATTTCCATTTTCTCAGACTATATCTTGTTCAGTATCTTATAATAACCTCTGTATTTATGCTGCAATAAATCTATATGAAAATCTATTTTTCATATTTTTTCCCAATTAAAAGGCAGGGCAGAGGTTAGTATTTCCAATTTGCAGACTAAAAGAATAAGGACAAGTCCAGTGAGTCGCTGGAGGTCACACAGTGAAGCTGTGACAAAGGCAAGAGACAGGCCAGATCTTCCCTAGGGTGTTTGTGGCCTCTTTGCATTGGACCTCATTACCAACTGGTGAAATGTACCAGGTGGCCTGTCCTATACTAAGGCTGACTGCAGCTGTGCCTTTTGAACTCTGGTTTTGTTTTTGTTTTGAGAGTGAGCGTGCATGCATGTGAGCAGGGGTGTGTAGCAGAGGGAGGGGGAAAGAGAGAATCTTAAGCAGGCTCCATACCCAGCGGGGTGCCAGACACGGGGCTTGATCTCATGACCCTGAGATCATGACCTGAGCCGGAATCAAGAGTTGGATGCTTAATTGACTGAGTCACCTAGGTGCCCCTTAAACTCTGTTTTTAAATAATTTTCCTTTTTCCCTCTTTTGGGTCAGGCAGCCAACTGCCCACCTGCAGCAGTCCTGCTACACCATGGTAACTTCTTGTTTTAGTGGCTTTGATCCTAGAAATCAGACTCCCCGTGATACCAATGTATATAAAACAGAAATCAGTGAGCTCTGAGGTGGGGATTCCAGGAGCTATGTTCTTCCATCTCAGGCTATTGATTTTAACTGCGCAGAGGCCTTCAGGGCTCTTTGTGGGGTGTGGGAGGCTAGCTGCTGGTTAGGGAGTACCCTGCCCACCTGTCCAATCCCAGCAACACACTCTCACCAACAGCTGTGGCACACTCAGTGCCTCTTGGATAAATGGTCTAATGGTTTTGGGGATTGTCATATTTGATGTGCCCCCAATCATGTCATCAAAGGTCTCTCCCCAGTGTCACCAGGGATTCCAGTCTCTAAACCCAGTGGTCAATTTTCAACGGCTATTTGCTATGGGGAAGAAAAAGCCAAGGAAAGCTCCAAGGTTTCCAGCCCGAGCAGCAGAATGACAGAGTTGCCCCCAACTGCGGTAGGAGTAGATTTTGAGGAAAGACCAGCACCTCCATTTTGGAGTTAGGAAAGAGGGGTCTGGCTGGAGGTAGAAATTTGGGAGTTAGCAGCATATTAATACTAATTTAAAGCGAGAAGACCAAGGGATTGTGCACCAATGGAAGAAATATAAATGGAGAAGTGCAGAACCCTGAGGAGCTTCAACGTTTAGAATTTGGGAGGTGAACAAGAACCATAAAGGAGGCTAAGAGAGACGCCAGTGTGATGAGAGAAAAGCAAAGGAAATGTCAGGGGAGGGAAACATGGACAGTGTCAGATTCTGTTATTAACTGGCTGCCCTGTGAAAGGGCCATCATGAACATGCAGCCCAGGTGAGGCTTCAGGTTGACTTCAGCCTCAGCAGACACGGGCTGCAACCACATGGGCCTCTCCATGGGCCTTCTGACAACATGGTAGCTGGCGTTCCTGGAGAAGTCATGAGAGATGGGGATCCGCTAGACCCACAAAAGCCTTCAGATGCCTGCAGGTACACCTGGCAATTTGACTGCAACCTCGTAAGAGACACCGAGCTGAAACCACCCAATAAGCCTCTCTCAGATTCCTGACCTAGAGAAACCAGTGAAATAATAAATATTTGTTATTTTAAGCCACTACACTTTGAGGTGACTTTAATGCCATAACAGATAACTAATACATGTGGTAATAGCCTCATTTCATGGGTGAAGAAGGTGAAGCTCAGAGGGACAAGGTGACCAGCTCAAGGTCATGGAATGAACAAATGACAGAACCGGCCTGCTCTCAGAGCAGGACCTCGCACCCGATGTGTTGTTGACAAATATTTGTTGAATTGGCCCAGTCATTTTTTCTGTTATCAAGTTAGGTTATAGTTGAAGTACAACAGCGATGAGTTACAACCCATTATTATACACATAATATCAGTCTATATGACTAATTAAGCGCTATGGGTCCCAGATACCTCTCTTTTCCATTAAGTGACTTGCTAACCCAGGGAAAGGGAAAGGCCTGTGTATCTGGATATTTGTCCTCTTTGTTGCCCAGAATCCAAATATGCTTATTTTGGGGGAAGAAAGAAATAGGGCCTGGGGAAATAAGAAATAGGGCCTGTATCAGTCAGGGTCCAATCAGAAGAAACCACGCAAGAATTTAAACAGTGATTTAATATAAAAGTTATTAACTGTCTAGCAAGAATTCTAAAGAAGTACCATGTATAAGAAGCAGCCACTAGCTCAGGAGCTGAGGTAGATGCCCAAGGAAGAGGCTCCCAACAGAAGGGCTGAAAACCAGCCCATGTTGGATAGGGCATGGTTCAGATTTACAGAGTAAATACAGAGAAACTGTTGCAGTGATACGCTGGCAGAATTTGCTGGAAATCTCCCCTTTCAGGTACTGGGGAAAACTGTTCATGGGGAAGTGTCTCAGCAGAAAGATTTCATTATAAGATGGCCTGTCGGGGTAAGCCAGGGAGAGCTGCTGGCTCGGGGTGCTGCTGCCTGCTGGGCACTGCAGGGGCAGGCCACATGACCAACCCAGGAAGGAAAACTCCTTCCTTCTGCGATGTGTCTCCAGTGCCCTCCACTGACAAAGCTTCACATGGAGCCTACTGTCAAAGGCAAGATATTTAAAGGGCCCAGATCCATTTTTAGAGAGCAGACAAGGAAGAATGAATTTGGAGCTGAGAAGCAATAAATTGATAACTAGCACAACCTCGCTCAGATATTATCCACAGAAATTCTACAGCTCAGGCATTTTGCTCAAGACAGCAAGGGACAGTTCTTTGAGGCACGTAGGAAAACAAAAACTAATTATGGTAACCAGCTCCATTAGGCAGAAGTCTCAAACTATAAAGTTGGGTAGCCAAGTTTACTCACAGAAGCAAGTACAATAGGCTAGTATATGAAAAATCAAATGCCAAGGGAGAAAAAAAAACCCTGAAACTTTTTTTTTTAATTGAACCACAGTGCATGCACGTAACATATAAAATTTTTTTTTTTTAAGATTTTATTTATTTGAGAGAGAGAGAGAGACAGTGAGAGAGGGAACACAAGCAGGGGGGAGTGAGAGAGGGAGAAGCAGGCTTCCCGCTGAGCAGGGAGCCCGATACGGGGCTCGATCCCAGGACCCTGGGATCATGACCTGAGCCGAAGGCAGCCGCTTAACCAACTGAGCCACCCAGGCGCCCACATATAAAATTTATGATACTGGATATTTGAAAGAAAAATTTAAAAATACACATTGAAAAATAGAAATCTTTAATTATTAAAATTTTTGTTCATAATCTGTTATTCCTTTGACTTGGAACCAGAAACCTGACACCTTTTTTTCTGCACCAACATGTCAACGTCTGGTCTCATATTTCGAGTTGCAATGTGTAGAACTGAATGTAATCTTGTATCCTTTAATTGGGAGCGAAATTTAGTTTTACTCCATTTCGTAACAGAAAACAGCTGTTCACAGACATAAGTGCTTCCAAACATGGACAGAATCTTTGCACAATGGTTTCTATATCTGGGGTAACTCTTGCTGAGGTATTTGTAGAATTCTGGTATTCTAATGGCATCGTATTTAGTTTTTAATACCATATTACACTGCAGTTCAGTAACTTCCATTTGTAATTCTTCATTAACACTGTCAATGTTAACTGAGAAAGGTGAGCTAAACAATATGAGCTCGTTTTCATAATGTTTGAAATCAAAGAACCTTTTCTGAAATTCAATCTTCAACTCCACAATTTTGGGGACTGTAGATTAAGCCATCACTTTCATTTCTTGACACTGATTTCAGTGTAGAAAAGTGTGCCAGATTATTTACAGACAAATGAGTTTCCCAAAGACTCAATTTTGCTAGGAAAGAGCAAACTGCATCATACATTTGTGTCACCACTTGTGAATGTCTTTGCAGAGAAATATTCAAAGTGTTTAGATGGTTTGTAATGTCAACCAAAAAGGCCAGGTGTCTGATCCAAACTTCACTGGTGAGCTGGGGAAGGGGTTTGCCCTTGGAAGACATGAACAAATCTATTTCTTTTATTAATTCAAAAAGTCTCTTCAGTACCATGCCACGACTAAGCCACCTTACCTTTTATGGTAAAGATTACCATATTGTGCATCCAGTTCCTCCAGAAAAGCACTGAACGGCCTGTTAGACATACAATTCACTGTTCACTGTGTTAATCACTACATCCATGACATGTTCTAGTTTTAACTTTTTAGTACAGAACAATTCCTGGTGAATAATGCAGTGAATAGATTTAAGTTCTGCATCCTTGAAAAGCATTTTGACTTTGGATCTAAGTTTTGCAACAAGCCCAGTGTTATCACAGACCATCGCAGGAGCAGCACTAGTTTGGACCAGTCAACATTAAACTTTTTTTTTTTTTATTATTTGACAGAGAGAGAGACAGCAAGAGAGGGAACACAAGCAGGGGGAATGGGAGAGGGAGAAGCAGGCTTCCCGCCAAGCAGGGAGCCCGATGCAGGGTTCGATCCCAGGACCTGAGCCGAAGGCAGACACCTAACGACTGAGCCACCCAGGTGCCCCAACGTTAAACTTTTCAAGACTTTTCTCAACATACCCAAATAAGACATTTTCAGATGCTGGGTCTGTCATGGGAACCATGTCCAAAAGTTCTTCAGTGATGTAAAAATTCTCATCAACACCCCGGATAAATATAATTAACTGGCTTGAATATTTATGTATGTGCTCTCATCCACTGCAATAGAAAATGTCACAAATGATTTTACTTTTTCTCGCAACTTGTACTGTAGGTTCTTAGCCATATCTTTTACTCGCTGAGCAACAGTGTTTCCAGTTAGACTTATGTTTGCAAATGCTGGTTTCTGCTCTGGACACATGATTTCTGCACACTCAATAGACAGTCTTTTATAAACTCACCATCTGTGAAAGGTTTTGATGCCCGGGCAATTTTTCCACTTATGACATAACTGCATTTCACAGCAGCATCGGTTATTTTATTTGCATTTATGATAAATGCGGAAGAAAGTTTAGTCCTTTTTTTAGTTCATTAAGTTTTTCATCACGCATATTTTCTGTATACCAGTCAAAATTCTCACTATGGTTTGTTTCATAATGGCATCTTAAGTTGTATTCTTTTGATACAGACAAAGTCTGGTTACATATAAAACACTTAGGGCTATTCTTAACTTTCACAAAGAAAGATGCTCATTCCCACTATTCTTTTTTTTTTTTTTTTAAAGATTTTATTTGAGAGAGAGAGCACATGAGAGGGGGGAGGGTCAGAGGGAGAAGCAGGCTCCCTGCTGAGCAAGGAGCCCGATGTGGGACTGGATCCCAAGACTCCAGGATCATGACCTGAGCCGAAGGCAGTCGCTTAACCAACTGAGCCACCCAGGCGCCCTCATTCCCACTATTCTTGAAACATGCAACACTCTGGATCCATCTTTCGTTTTCCCATTTTTGATAGAGACATAGGTACAAAAAGAGAGTTCACTTTTCTTTACTACAAGAGAAACAACAGCACAAGCCTGATGATAAATGGCAACTGACACTGGTTTTGAGGAGGGAGGAGTGGAAACTGTAGCAAACTATAAAGCCTTCTAAAGGGAGCAGACACTACTCAGCTGGGGCGGACTGTTGGTATGTGGGAACACAGGCCCGATCTTCCCAATTTTTCAAGCAAAGCCAGATATTGTATTTTCACACAAAATCAACTGACTTTTAGATATTGTAAATTAAAGCAAAAAACGTTAGACACTGTGAAAGGCAAACAAAGTAAGTCTAAGGATCATAAATAGCCCCATGGCACCAGTTTGGCCTCCGCAGCCCCACTCACCTCCTAGCAGGCGGCCAACCACTTCCAGGGTCGCCAGGGCTTCTACCCCACACTGACCCAGGGTGGCTTCATCCTGCAGGGGAGAAGCTGCCAGAAGCACTACTTTATCTTCGGTGGTGTGGCCCTCCAAGGAGGCGGCATGGGCCTGGGGAAGAAAGGGAGAGTCAAGAGTGTTCTCTAAGGAAGTCACAGAAAGCCAGGCAAAGGACACATGGGTTGGGGAAGCTCAGGGATACACTATTACTTTTGCCTTGATCTGAGCAACTGTCTCCAGGCCGGTCACTTCAAGTGTGTGCAGCTCCCGGGCACGCACAAACAGCCGCAAGTCAGTGACTTCAGGGCAGAGAAGAGTGAAGTCAGCAGCTGGGAGACGCAGGGAGGGGCGGGGGGGTGTCCAGGGCAGTTCTTGGGGCCGGAGAACACCTGTGGGCGGGACAGCATCCTAGGCGAATGGTGGGGCAGAGCTAACCAGAGCCCACTGTGGGTACACGCGGAGGGCGGGGGGGGGGTGAGACCTCCCACGAGCCCGGGCCCAGGCCCTGCTTTCCCGTTCCCCTGAGCCCTGCTGCCCTCCGTCCCTCAGTTACCATGTTTCCGCTCTACCCGGATCTTGCCTGGGACACACAGCCTCGCGCCGCCGTAACCGTGGAAACGGAAGCTACAGAGCGGAGGCGCAAATACACCCGCCACTAGGGGCGCATTGCGTCACTGCCCCGCGCCTCCTCCCGCCCTCCGCGGAGGCCTCGCCCCCGCGCTCTTCGCCACGCCCCTCCGCTCTTCGCCACGCCCCTCCGCGGTCCGCGCAGGCGCGGGCACCCTCCTGGGTGAGCCCAGGCTGTCGGGGGCGGTAGGCAAGATGGCGGCGTCTGAGGTGAGAGCACTTTTCGTGGAGCTGGAAAGCGGGCTCCCTGCACCCTGTGGGATGCAGCAGAAGATGCGAGCCGCTTAGCCTGACACTCAGACGGAAGCCCAGCCATTTGTTGGGAACTCGGAGCAACGAGGCCCCCGCTAGAACTTTGGTTTTTTCATTCGAGGTGGACATCTGTTTTAGCACAGACAGGGTTAGGGTACAGAGGAGGTGGTAAAGAGTGCGCAAGATAGGGGCCCCTGGCTGGCTCAGCCAGAGGAGCCTGCGACTCTAAAATCTTTTTTAAAAGGTGCGAGAGAGGGACCGTAGCACCATGGGGCTTCAGGTTTGTCCAGGATGTAGAGGTCCCAACCAGAGAGGAGGAGGCTGCGAGGACCCACGTGGCCTCAGTTATAAGGAGCTGCATGTTCAGTTGCGCGCCTTCTTTTCACTTAGACCGGGGGTAGGGGGTAGACTGAATGGGACTGCTCAGGAACTGTGGGTCCCAAAGCCTCGGACCTCCAGGCCACTCTGCCTTGGCAGCGCCTCTTCTGTTGTGGTTACAGGCCTCATCCAGCCCTGGGGTGTTGTGTTGGAAAGAAATACTCAAAGAGGATCCTAAGGCAGGATAGTTATGTTCTAGATTGTAAGAGGACTCTTTTTCTTTTTTAAAGATTTTATTTATTTGAGAGAGAGCACATGAGAAGGGGGAGGGTCAGAGGGAGAAGCAGACTCCCTGCCGAGCAGGGAGTCCGATGCGGGACTCGATCCTGGGACTCCGGGATCATGACCTGAGCCGAAGGCAGTCGCCTAACGAACTGAGCCACCCAGGCGCCCTGTAAGAGGACTCTTAAGGCAAAATAGTCATGTCTTAGATCTCCTAGATCGTAGGAAAAAAATCTAGGTCTGAATCCCAACTCAGAATTTACTCTTGGGGCTCGGCTCTTATGTGGAGTTGGGTAATAATAATTACTGTCTTGCAGGATTTCAGGAAATGTGTAGGACTCTCACTTGGCATGGTGTTGGGTGTGTCTGCATAAAGCCAAAACCAGGAAAAGCCTGTATGAGAAAGATTTATTTAAGTCTTTAAATAATTGAAAACTTTTGATCTTGGCCCGGTATAATGGTTCAGACTTTGGAACCAGACTGAATTCAGATCCCAGCTCCACGGTTTACAATATCTGTTACCATGGGTAAGTCACATAATCTTTACCTCTAGGAATAGGAATAATAGAACCTATTCATATGAGAATTGAGTAAGACAATATATTTATAAAGCATTTAGAACAGTGTCTGGCACAGAATAAGTGAAAACAAATTATTAATAAATCATATACCATGTTGAGTTAGACTTGTGATCCAAACGTTTTTTCATAATTCTTTAAACAACTCACTTGAGCCTCACAGACAGAAGCAGACACATCAGAGGCCAGCCCTTGTCCAGCCTTATAACCCACTAGTCTAGACTCCTGGCCTTTCCTTCTGCCCTTCTCCAACCTTATAACCCACTAGTCTAGACTCCTGGCCTTTGCTTCTGCCCTGCTCCCTATCTGGAATGGTCTTTCACCTGTTGAGTTTCTGCCCATCCTTGGAAGCCAGTGACAGAGGAAGGTGGTTGTTTCTTTGCTTCAGACAGACCCAGGGGCTGCCTAGTCACCCTACCCTGGTGGAGTCAGTGGCCGAGTGCTAGTTTGTGGAGCTCCTGCTACCCTCAGAAGCACCCCAAAGCCCCCAGAGCATGCACAATGTTTTATCTTGAGTGGCTGGCATCTCTACCCGCCTTAACCTATGGTTTGCCTGGTGGAAACGGGACCTGTGGGGAAATCCCCCAGGGCTGGCATCTGCCTCAGGTCCTCAGTAGTGACCAGAAGTAGAGCCCTTTGTCTTGTGCCCATGCAAACACTATTGGATGCTTTACAGGGCTTTCCCAGATGAGAAAAAAATGAAAGAGAAGACCCAAGTGCTTGGATTCCCCAGCAGGCCTGTGTTCTTGGCATTGCCTGCCTGTCTCATCCCTCCTTGTGGTTTCTTCCTTTCTTTCTCTCTCTCTCTTTCTATATTTCTCTCTCTCTCTCTCTCTCCTTTCTTTCTTGATTTTATTTATTGAGAGAGAGAGCACAAGCAGGGGAAGCAGCAGAGGGAGAGGGAAAAGTAGATTCCCCGCTGAGCAGGGAGCCAGATGCAGGGCTCGATCCCAGGACCCTGGGATCATGACCCGAGCCGAAGGCAGACACTTAACCAACCGAGCCACCCAGGTGCCCTCCTTGTGATTCCTAATTCAAGAACATGCGGCATAACCAGAACACAGGATTAGGAGTCAGTGGATCTATGTTTGATTTTGGCCTTGCCATACACTGCTGGTGTTGCTCAGCCTCTCCCAACCTCCGTTTCAACAAAATAGAGATAATACAACATCTGACCTCCAAGGGCTATTAGGATAAAATGAAGGTGCACAAAAATCACTTAGAACTCTGTTCCTTTGTTCCAGAAATTTATCTGAGTCTTCCTGGCCTAAAGAACGGAGAGAGAGCGCATCCTCAGAGGGTCACCTAAAGCCCCCAGCAGCTGTAGACTTGGTTTCTTCATTTGTACATTCATTTCTTTTTTTTTTTTTTTTTTAAAGATTTTATTTATTTATTCATGAGAGACAGAGAGAAACAGAGGGAGAAGCAGGCTCCCAAGGAGCGGGAAGCCCGATGCGGGACTCGATCCCAGGACCCTGGGATCATGACCTGAGCCGAAGGCAGACGCTCAACCATCTGAGCCACCCAGGCGCCCTGTACATTCATTTCTCCATTCATTCCAGAGATACTTATTGAGCACCTACTCAGTGCCAGGTCCTGTGCTGGACATTGGGGTACCAGGATGACATAACTTGTTCTGGCTCTAAACTTCTGGAAAGGGGACGCTCTTGACCTGGAGTCTGGAGGTGGCATGGCCATTTGGTGCTAACTGTGTGCAGACTCTTTGAGGAAACAGGTCCTCAGCTGTGGGGAGATAAAGCCTAGGGAGAACTGGATTATCATCCATACCCTTTGCAGACCCCCCATTCACCCAACCTGCCCTACTCTGTAAGGTGCTTCCAGATACACAACATCACCTCCGGTTTCTTCTTGTTTCATAGACTGTGGGTGAGGCCAGTGGCCATTCTGCCTGGTGGGAGTATATATCCTAACACAACTCAAGCAGGAGGCGAATTAAGGCTCTGGAAGTGGGTATGGTGCTGGGAGGGGGTGAGCCTCAAATCTCTCCCTCCTTGGCCACTTTGTCTTTGTGATCTCACTCCTCTAAGTGTGGCTGAGCCTCTGCCTTGTGCCCGGCTGGGCAGTGTTGAGCCCCACAGAGCTGACCCAGAGATGGGCCTGAAGGATAGTCCTGCTCCCTGCCCCCAGGTAGAAGGGCTCAGGGCAGAGGATCAGCCATGGCCTGCCCCCCACCCACCCCCCATCTCTTCCACTTCAGACCCCCTTTCTCCAGCCCAACATAGCAGCCTTTGGGCTGGTGCCTGATACAGGGAGGATGGGGAGCAAGGTGATGTGTGGCCTTCTGGCTGGGTGAAGCTCTAAGCAGGGTGTCCTTTTTTCTTGTCTTCCTCTTCTAAGGCGGAAGGGGATGAGCCACCCAAGTACTGAGGGGGACCTTGGAGGCAAGAAGGTGCTGGCGCTTCAGCTCCCCACCCTGTGCCTTCAATGTCGGTATTTGGGCATAAAAGGGAATGAAGGGCTGACACATGCTAAAACATGGATGAACTTGGAAACATGCCGAGTGAAGGAAGCCAGACGCAAAACGACAATTAATTTATTGTTTATGTTTACTAATGAAAGGAAGATGTTACTCTTTTTTTTTTCATTAAAATATAAGGGTGTTTTTCTTTTTCAAAAAATTTAAATTCCAATAGTTAACAGTGTTAGTTTCTTTTTTTTTTTTTTTTTTATTTGACAGAGAGATAGCGACAGCAGGAACACAAGCAGGGGAAGTGGGAGAGGGAGAAGCAGGCTTCCTGCCGAGCAGGGAGCCTGATGTGGGACTCGATCTCCGGACTCCAGGATCATGACCTGAATGGAAGGCAGACGCTTAACGACTGACCCACCCAGGCGCCCAGTGTTATTTTAGTTTCATGGGACAATTATTTTAGATTCTACTTACATGAAATACCTAAAATTGGCAGTCATAGAAACAGGAAGTAGATTAGAGGATACCAGGGGCTGTGGGGAGGGGGAAATGGGAGCAGCTGCTTAATGGATATGGTTTCTGCTGTGGGGTGATAAAAGGGATCTGGAAACAGCGGTGATGGTTGCACAACATTGTGAATGTAATTAATGCCATGGAATTAGACACTTAAAATGGTTAAATGGCAAGTTTTACATTGTGTGTGTGTGTGTGTGTCCACAATAAATTTTTTTCAAGATTTATTTGAGAGAGAGCAGGGGGGCGGGGCAGAGGGAGACTCTGAGATCATGACCTGGGCAGAAACCAAGAGTTGGACACCTAACCGAATGAGCCACCCGGGCGCCCCCACAATAAAATTTTTTTTGAACATTAAAAAAAGTCCAGAAGGCCAAGCAAAATGCCTTGGGGTCAAATTCAGCCCCCACTCTGAAATCTGACACAGGGAATGGAGGCAGGAGAGGCTGGGGGCGGGCTGGGAGTCTGGGATCCGCAGGGTCAGGAGGATGGAGAAGAACCAGCGGAGAATGGAAGAAGGGAACAACCGAGGCTTGAACCTGTCCCCAGCCACCTGCGTGGTCTGTACCAGTTGGACACAAGCCCCACCTTGGCACTCTCCCCTCCTCTGTCCCCACTGTCCCTGCCCCGTCCAGGCCTCCTCATCCTGCAATGGCTTCTTCCTCTCTGACCTTCAGTCCATCGTCCCTTGGCCCGGGTGGTGACCCTCCTAAAACCTGGATCTGACCACGTGTCTCTCCTGCTTAAAATCCTTCTGCAGCTCCCCATTGCCTCTGCTCAGCCTTGTAAGCAAAGCTGTTCCCAGCTGACTCCAACCTGTTTTCACAGTCCTGCCTCTCCCGAGCCCCGAGTCCTTTGTGTCCATAGCCACTTTTGAGTACCTTCCATGTGGCAGTTCATAAACGTCCCTAATTCTCCCCACAACCCTGCAAGGCAGGTACCCTTGACTCCATTTTAGAGATGGGGAAACTGAGTCTCAAACAGGCTAGATCAGACTCAGAGCATAGACTCAGGTCCATGCTCTTTGCCACATGTTGGCTCCTCTCTGTCATTCACTCCTGGGCTTCCTGCCTTTGCTTATGCACGAGCATAATACGCCTGTCAGTCCCTAGCAGTGGGGTTGATCATGTCCAAGGACAACAGGTCCCGAAGCTGCTTCTGGCCCATGTGGCTGCTGCATTTCACATAGACAGACACCTTGGTGGACATCGTGACCTTAGTGCCCAGGCCTGGCTGCTCAGGACACACACAGGCCACCCACAGGCCTCCTGCTGTTTCCTCTCACTGCCTACACCAGGAACACCAGATCCAGAGGGCAATTTTCTGTCACCAAAACTTGCCAAGGGGCTGAGGGACTGCAGATGATGGCAAACCGGCCATCACTCTCCTTTAGGAGGGCCCAAGCCAAGGTCCCTTATTTTTTTAAGTCTTTTTTTTTTTTTTAAGATTTTTATTTTATTTATTTGACAGAGAGAGACACAGCAAGAGAGGGAACACAAGAAGGGGGAGTGGGAGAGGGAGCCTGATGTGGGGCTCGATCCCAGGACCTTGGGATCATGACCTGAGCGGAAGGCAGATGCCTAACAACTGAGCCACCTGAGCGCCCCTGGGTCCCTTATTTTTTTAAGAGATTTTTTTGGGGGGCACCTGCCTAGCTCAGTTGGTAGAGAGTTTGACTCTTGATCTCAGGGTTTGTGAGTTTCAGCCCCATGTTGGGTGTAGAGATTACTTAAAAATAAAATCTTAAAAAAAATTTTTTTTTAAATAAATTCACTGTGGGGCTCGAACTTACAACCCTGAAATCAAGAGTCGCACACTCCACCAACTGAGCTGGCCAGGCGCCCCCTGACCCCCAAGGTCCCTTAAGATGTTCTGTTGGGACACCTGTGTGGCTCAGTCGGTTAAGTGCCTGCCTTCGGCTCAGGTCATGATCCCAGGGTGCTGGGATTGAGTCCTTGCTCAGCGGGGAGCCTGCCTCTCCCTCTCCCTCTGTCACTCCCCCTGCTTGTGCTCTAACAACAACAAAAAAGATATTCTCTCAACCAAAGCTGACCAGCTTCCTGCCCCTCTGTGTATCCTGATCCCCTCCCTCTGCCCTGCACATGGCATTTCCCTCAGGCTTGTCCAGGTCTGGTGTCCCCTCCAGCTCATAGGAGCCCAGCTCTCCAGAGAGGACTTGTCCTATCATGTGACCTGAGTTTGGGCTGAGCCCAGGACCTGGGATTCTAACTGGGTTCTGAGAGGTAGGGGAGCCCCCCGCCTGGCTAGGAGAAGGCCCCGCCTGCCAGGCCAACTTTGCACACCTCCCCTTCTGCTTCCAGTGTTCCTGATGAGACAGGGGTTGTTGAAGGAAGAGGTTATTGCAGTGATAGGCAGGGGTTCCCTGGGAACCGTGGGCTCAGGCTGGAGCCAAGGCAGCCCTGTTCCAAGGTGCAGACAGCATCAGTATCATGGCCAGTGAACTGGATTGTGATCCTCTGACCTCTTTCCGGGGATGTGGGGGAGGGATGGGGAGGCTGGCCAAAGCTGGGAGAGAGGCCAAAGGAATCCCAGAGACAGAGATGGCAGCTGCTAGGGGCTTGCAGGGAACTCGCTTAGGATCACGGCACACTGCCCCGGCTGGGTCCTGACCTGGGGGGGGGGCGGTCTCCTGGGATCCATCCTCCAGGTCCCAGGTGCCTGGACAGTCTCAGACCCCTCAGGGCCCACTCTGGCCCCTCCTGCCCCATTTCCTGCCCCTGGGTCAGTTTGTGGGCCCCTCCCTTCTGTTCCCCCAGGGCCACTCTGCACCCCGACCTGCCAGCCCAGAGCTCTGCCATCTGACCTCATCCACTCAGCCCTCCCGGAAGAGCCATCCTCCTGGTCCTCGGACGTGGAGGGCAGTGGGGAGTTGGTCCTGGGAGCCTCAGCCGGAAGCGGCCAGGTGGGGAGCACACCCTGAGGAATGTGGGCGCTGCAGGTGGGCCCCTCAGCCTTGGGGTTCAGAGCCCCCAAGCTCTCTTCTTCTCAAAGGTACTAATTCATCTTCTGCGTATGGCTCAGGGCAGGGGGGAGGGGCTGCAGCCGCGAGAGCCCTTGACCGCCCAGCCCCAGGTCCTCCAGGGGGTGAGGGAGGAGACCGTGGAGGGGCGTGCTCCTGGGGAGGCCCGCGGCACCTGAGCCCCACACGTCTCTCTCCGGACCACGGAGGGGGAGGAGGGGCCTGGAGCTGGGAGCCGGAAGGAAGGAAGGAAGGAAGGAAGGAAGGAAGCAGGGACGCCACAGGGACTCGAACCCTGGCCCGGAATGCTGGGCGTGCCACCACCAGCGCCTTTTGCTTTTTCCTCCTTGTTTTCTCACAGACTCAAAGGTGAAAAGCAAAACCTGAATGCGGCCACAAGCCGCATCCAGTAAAAGAAACACCTGCGGCGGCTCCGCGCCTCCCCCCTTCCCAGGCTTACCCTCCCTCCCCTGGTAGCCCTTTCAAAGGCAGAGCCAGGGGGACGAGCGTCCCCTTGAGCGTCCCCTTGGCTGCGTGGCCACGGCTTCCTGTGGTGCTGCGTGCACATCCCGACCGCAGGAGCTCATGAAGTCAGAGGGAACACGGAACCACAAGTTACGGTCCTGCTTACTCTAGGACACTGTCAGCAGTGACAAGTCCTTGTACGGATACAGAAATTTCCAGAAAGATCCTGAGAAACTTGAGAGGCCACCTCAGTGTAGTAGGGCTGAGATGGGTGATGGGAGAGGGACTTTATTTTACTTTATACCTTTTCCATGGCTTGAATTTTTAAGTCTATGCAGATTCCTTTTGTAATTAAAGACAAAAATCTCAAGTTTTTCATTGGAACAGGAAGTCTAAGAACTAGGGGACACCTGAAGCACCCTGGCCCAGCTCAAACGCCAGTGGTCCTCGGAGTAGGCTGTGCCCCGCTGCGTGCGGCCACACAGGCCGGCCAAGCTGCCTCGCCCCCCATCCTCCGTCTCACCACCGCTGCCCGCTGTGGGGTCCTACCTGGAAACTGCCACTGCCCGAAAATGAAGTCAGAAGCACAGCGCCCCCACCTGCCTCCCACGGGGGTCTGAGTTCCTGAGAGGACGGGTCCAAGAGACAGGAGGAACAGGAAGCCCGCCCTGGACCCTTGGCCAGTTTACCTGCCCTGGGCCACCCTCCCAGTCTGCTGCCCACAGCACCTGCAGCTCCCAGGCTAGGGTCTGCCTCCCGCGGGCCCACGGCGGGTCCGGTGGGAGCACCCCCACAAGCTCTGCGGTCCTGGTCCAGGAGTCCTGGCCTGGCCTCTCACTAGGGGAGGGCCCCTGGACCCTCCTGTCGGCCCCAAGGAGCTCAGTAGCCGCTCCCCAGCAGGGTCCAGATGAGAAGCGGAGGCTCAGAGAGGACTGAAACCAGTTCAGGGTCACACAGGTGCATCAGGTCAGGCTGAGAACAGGGTCCTCTCTACTAGTCCTGAGGAACTCAAGCAGAGCCAGTCCCATTTCTCACACACACACACACACACACACCCTCAAGGTCTGGGGCTTCCAGGCTTCCATCCCTCCTCCCCCCACCTCCCTCATGCCCCCCCACTCCACGGCCTCCTAGCTTCCCCTCGTAGGCTCCCTTCAGGCTTCAGCCCCCCAAACACACCACAAAGGACAGGCACTTACTTACTGCAGCAGGAGAGGAATCAGCCATCTAAGTCCCAACCTGACGAAGCAACAAAGCTCTGGCCTTAAAAGGCCTCAGAAATGGAGGGGTGGGTAGTCAAAAAACACTCTGTAAGATGAGGAAAGAATTAATTCAACACATTAGTGACAAAACCCTTGAGGTGTGTACTTAAGGAAAACCAGAGGGTGATCTACACCGGGAGACATGTCCCCGTGAAGATTAAAATCGCTTCCAGGAAGCACTACGCACTCACAGTCAAAACCAGAACAAACTGTGTTCGCAGGGCCGGCGGGGGGCGGGGGGCGCGGGCGGAAACGGGTATATCACGGGCCCCTCGAACCACCCGGAGGACACAGGGCAGGGAGCAGAGAAGCCAGCAACGGCCGCTCCTTCCCTCTGGCCAGTGCGGAGTGCAAACCGAAAGCAGCCTTGAGGTATAAAAGGGATTTGCCCAAAGGTGTCTGTGACCGTGTAATTTATAATCACAAAATGCTGGAACCAGCCCACACAGAAGCCCCCAGCGGCCCGGGGGCAGGCTCACACCCTGGAATGTCCTGGGGGCCTCAATCACAACAGGTAGGTTATTTCAGCACGGGTAACCCTGCCCACCCCGGAACCTGGAGTGAAAAAAGCAAAATAACTACCAGCCCCAACTGTGTAAGATGAACACGTATGTGAGCAGGAAACAGAAATTAGATGTAAAAATCGTTTCAAAATTCACCTGTTGAAAATTCCCCAACACACAGGCACTTCATTCAAATGCAAACCAGAAGACAGTCCGGCTGGGGGCGGGGTAGGGGAGTAGGTTCCTGGGCCCCCGCCAGCATCAAGCACTCCACCCCTGCACTCCACCCCTGCAGGAGTGGATCGTGCCATCTGGAGTCTCCATGTACCCCACACACTGCAGCAAAACACACATAACAAAACTGGTAAGCAGTCTGGGGGCGCGGGGTGGGGGGAATGGACGGGGAACCAGAAGTGGTGGGGAAAACATCTTCACTTCTCATTACAGAGGGATATAGTGGATCTGGATTGGACCAAAAACCATTGAGAGGGACCAATCCAAAAATAGGGAACGGGACAAAGAATACCTTCTCAAATGCCACAGAACATATATAAAAATAGTCATACCTTAAGCAATGAAGAAAGTGAGCCACAGATTCAAAAAGGCAGAAACTGTACAGGACACTTCCTTGGGTAGCCATTCATTAAGACAGAAATAGATTATAATAGTTAAAACAAAAACAAAAACCTTTCCAAATCTTGGAAGTTTTAAAGCATACTCTTAAATAACTATGTTCAAATTATACACCAGAACTGAAACCACAAAGCATATGGGGAATAAGGACAGCAAACTCTTTCCCCAAATACCTGCGGGGCACATCCTGAACCCTCACCGTGCCCACCCCCTCCCCCCCAGCTCCCGCCAGTTCCCCTCACAGCTCAGAGGCTTTGCTCATGCCCTTCTCTCAGCTGGGAATGCTCTTCTTTACAGCTTCATGCACCCTTCAAGGGAGAGCTCAAAGGCCCTCCCTGGGTTTGGTGGCCCCGCGGGGCTGGCGCAGGACTGACAGCCTCCATTACTTCGCGTTGCCTGCTGCCTGCCCAGTTCAGCATGACCGTGCGGGACTCCAGAAAGAGAAACAAAACAACATCTGAGGAAAGCAGCAGAATTAACAAATTACAACATGAAGGCAGTAGAACTGCTTATTCTATCTAAAGCTGCTTCTTTGAAAAGGCCAATAAAATAGATATATATTTTAAAGATTTTATTTATTTGAGACAGAGAGAGAGAGAGCACAAGCGGAGGAGGATCGGAGAGAGGGAGAGGCAAACTCCCTGCTGAGCAGAGCGCCTGATATGCGGCTCAGACGGGCTCAGACGGCGTCTCTGCCTTTCCGGACATCCTGACACCAACACCCGCCTGACCGCGCCCTGAAGGTGAAGTGGACCTTCCGATTCATTTCCACGCTGACACACTAAAGCTCCAGGCCTGGGAATGGTGTGTCTCAGAAATCACAGGAGCGCTTAATAATCCATGATGCAATTAATCATGAGAAAATGAAAGGAGAAAAACTGGATGCTCATTTAAAAAGATGCAGGAAAGACAGCTGAATAAATCCAGTTATCTACTATGGAACTTAAATGACAAAACAGCAACTTCTAAGCAATCTACTGACAGATGATCCCAGCTCACGCACCAGGAGATGCTTGGGGACACCGCAAGTGAAGGGACGCACCAGAGCAGGATCGGGTCACACTCTGTTCTCTGCCCCCACCACCTTAATCATTCATACAACACCTGGACATTTTCTGCCACATCTGAGTACGGCCAATCCTTTTTTTTTTTTTCCCTTAAATCAAGTTATTATTTTTTTTTTTTTAAGATTTTATTTATTCACTTGAGAGACAGAGATACAGAGAAAGAGCATGAGCAGGGAGAGAGGCAGAGGGAGAGGGAGAAGCAGGCTCCCCACTGAGCCAGGAACCCGATGTGGGGCTCGATCCCAGGACCCCAGGATCATGACCTGAGCCAAAGGCAGACGCTTAACCATCTGAGCCACCCAGGCGCCCCTAAATCAAGTTACTTTTAAAATATAAATTTATGTCAAAGAACACTACCAAGAAAGTGGAAACACAACCCCCAGGAGGGGAACACGTATCTGCAAATCATCTATCCGCTTGGTGTCTAGTATCCAGAGTATACAAAGAACTCTTAAAATTCAATGAGACGAGAAACACCCAGCTAAAAAGGGAACAGAGGCTCAGTATAGACACTCCTCCAAAGAAGATCTACACTCGGCCAACAAGCACAGGAAAAGGTGCTTCACAACAAATGCAAATCAAAATGACACGAGATACTACTTCACCCCCATTAGGATGGCTATAATCAAAACGCCAGACAGGCACCTGGCTAGCTCAGTTGGAAGAGCACGTGACTCCGGGTCATGGGTTCAAGCCCCACATTGGGCGGAGAGCTTCTATAAAAAAACACAAAAAGCCAGATGAGAACAAGTGTTGAAGATGTGGAGAAATTGGAACCCTCCTAAGTTACTGGCGGGAATGAAAAGTAGTGCTTCTACACTGGGGAACAGTTCGGCAGTTCCTCAAAAAGTTAGAGAGTTATCATCAGACCCAGCAAGTGGTCCCACTCCTAGGTACATATCAAAGACAATTTAAAACATGTTCAATAAAAAGTTCATAGCAGCATTATTCATAATAGCCAAAAAAATCGGACACATCCCAAGTGTCCAACTGATGACCGGATAAACAAAATGTGGTCTAGCCAGACGATGGGATATTATGCAGGCTCACAAAGGAATGACGTCCTGTTACATGAATGAACGTTGAAAACATTACGCTAGCCAGAATAAGATGGACACAAAAGGACAAATGTCTTATGAGTCCACTTACATGAGGAACCTAGAATAGGCAAATTCATAGAGACAGATGGTAGAATAAAGGTTACCAGGCACCAGTGGGAGGGCGGGATAGAAGTTACTTACTGTTTTATGGATACCATGCTTCTGTCTGGGAAGATGAACAAGTTCTGGAAATGGATAATAGTGATGATTGCCAACACACTGAATATACTAAAAACCACTGAATTATACACTTCAAAAGCTGAATTTTATGGTATGTGTAGGATATTTCAATTAAAAAAAGGAAAAATAAATTCCTTTTAAAAGGAAACATTAGCACCATAAATAGAAAACCAGCAATTTTCAAATATTTGTTAAAATACGCAAATATTAAAATCTAAGAGGTCTCTCCCCAGCAGATCACCCCAACTGAGGACCACCGGAAAGATGATCAATGGGCAGCCTGACATGTGCTGCTGGGGGCTCACCAGCACCTCCCAGGGCCAGCCTGACCCTTCTCCATCTGCTGACAGATCCCACCAGAGGGTTGGGTGGGAACAAGACCACAATGCTCATGCTCATTAGTGATGACAGCCAATGCCAGTAAGACAGGAGGAAAGAAGCATGAAAAATGGAATAAATCACGTGGAGGACAGAACCATTAGATGACTCTTACTTTAATACCCCAACAGAACAGTGCTCACTCCATGTCAGCAGGGCCCCCAGCACAATGCCTCCATCATTTCATTAACCCTCATCCCGCTTCTTAGTGGATATTGGATTATCCCTTCTTACAAATGGAGAAACTCAGGCAGGGAGATGGTCACACAGAAAATAAGTAAGAGGCAGGTCCAGCAGGAGAGCACGGTCATCTGACTCAAAAGCCTGCCCTTTTAGCCAAGATGTCTTATTGCCTCCCAATCGGCCCTAATAATCAGCATATTTATTTTCAAAATAACATATATATACAAGTCTTACCATATGCTACCTTAATCAGAAATTTTAATAGAAAAATATATCTAACCACAACACAGAATATAACATTTCTAGAAGCAAACTTCATAAATGTACATAACTTGTACAAGTCTCAAATTCCTGAGGGACATGAAAATCATCCTATCCTGAATGAACAGGGAGGCCAGTTCCTAAATGGGATGTCTCGATATCATAATATATTGATAAATGTAATGCAATTCCAGTAAAAATCAGAATACCTTCAAAAGGAATGTCAGGGGATGGTATCAGCACATATTACAATCAGATAGGATAAAGCTAACATACGAAAACATTGGGCTGGCAGAGGAAAGAAACTGGTGGAAGACCAGAAAGTTCAGAAATAGACTCAATTATATTAAAGTATTTAGTCCATAACTAACAAATGCCATTTCGCATCAGTAGAGAAAGCATTATTCAGGAAGTGGTACTGGGAAATCGGTTAGCCCATCTTGAAATCTTTAGATTCTCACCTCATACTGTACAAACACCCAAACAACTTCTAGATGGATTAAAGAGTTACGTCAAATGTCAAAAATGAAAGCACAAAGAAACCAGTGGGAAATACAGCATTAACATCAAAGTATGAAACCATGATGGTAACAACAGATTTGATGACAAAACTTAAAACCATCAGCAAGATCCAACCTGTACATTTAAAAGACAAACTACAACCTGAAACCGATGTCACGTCGTGTGTCAACTACACTCAAGAAAGGAAAAAGAGAAAAGAAAGGCACACTATAAACTTGAAAAATGTTCTGTAATATACAAGGGTCAATGTCCTCAAGTAAAGAGCTCTCGGGAAATGAAAATGTAAGTGAAGCACAAAGCAGACACACACGTCAGCCAACAAGATTCAACTTCACAGAATCAAAAAGTGCAAACTGACACATGGAGATGCTGGATCTGCCTTCCAATCAGCAAAGATAAACCCCAAAATGGCCAGGGCAGGGCTGCAGGGAACCATAGCTGTTGGCGGGCTGGGGAAGGCGGAGGTGTGCCCGTCTTTAAGGAGGGTACTTGGCAACCTGAGTCCTAAAACCCAGAAGCCATAAAAGAAAACATTGATAAATAACTTTAAGTGTATTTAAAACCCTGAACAGCAAATCTTTAGCACGAAACGTAAAATCAAGATCAAGGACAATCAGGAAAGTACGTGCAGCACAAATGACAAAGGGTTCATTTCTTCAATATATAAAGCTCTTGAAAATCCGTAAGCACACAGCCCGACAGAAATAGAAGTCAAAACTACAGTGAAATACTATTTTCACTTCTCACACTGACAACCAAATTTAAGAATACAGTGTTGGTAAAGGTGTAGGGAAACATCAACCAGAACAACTTAAGGACCGTGTTAAGCACCGTGTACATAGGTGGGCAATGCCCATCATGTTTGGAAAGACACATGGACCGTGACCCAGAATCCTCCTGTATAGAAGGCTTTCCCCAGAGGCATGGTTGCCCATGTACACCAAGAACCATGTAGACCCATATTTAGTATAGCCTTATACACAGTAAAACTTGCTAGAAACAATCTAATTGTTCCCCCAAAGGGAAATGGGTTAATTCAAACATGGACTATCACACAGATGTGGAAAAAGCCCAAGGTAGACCAAAAAAGAGATATGCAGTGAGCTCCTTGATGTCCTGTTGTTAACTGAACAATCCAAAGGACAAGACAGGGTGTGTGGTGTAGCAGGACCTCCATAGGGAAATACGTACACAGGATTCTCCAGAAAGAACCAGCAACTGGCCACAATAGTTGCCCCTGTGGGAAGGGAGGCTGGGGGTTAGAGAAAGATGTCACTCTATCCCCTTTACAGGGTTTGAATTTTTAACACATGCAGGTATTACTTTGAACATTTTTTATGCCTTGAAATAAATCGGAAGAAAACTAGCAGAGCCTTGCCGTTGGGGTCAGCATGGGGCAGGGGCAGGGCCTTGCTTTGACACACAGACTGCTGGTCACACGACTGTTACATAACAGAGGAGTCAGGGGGACAGTGTACCGATTACCCCAGAGGCTAAGGGGGCAAGAATAAGGCTGCCGGGGCAGATCCTGGGCCTTGGGATTCCCAATGTTAAGCTCTCTGTGACCCTATTAGGCGAGTAAGAGACAGAGCCAGGTTCCCAACTGTGTTCCTGGCATTTGGTGGCCTCTGAGAGGCAGTTCTGAGCAGAAGGGTGGGAGAGAGAGCGGACTGTGCCCCGCCGGAGTGCAATCCTTTTCCACTTAGGATCAGAAATGCCTACAGCTGGATGCCAGGCGAGATTTCAACAGACCACACCAACCAACAAATAAGATATAGTTAAATGCTGCTTTCTGCCCAGGTCACAACTGGTGTCCTAGAATAGTTTAGGACCTGCTTAGGGGAAAGAGCACCAGGAGACTGTAAGTCTGTTAGGTCCATTCTTGTTTTGTGCTAAATGGGCAGTCTCAGACCCAGACAGCACAGGAGGGAGAGCGACTGTGCTGTGCTGTCCCCGAGGGGCTGTGAATACCTGGACCTTCCTCAAGAAACACACTGAGGTAGGTTTTTTTTTTTTAGAGTTACACGAAAAGAAAGCAAGTAAAGGTAAACCCAGTATTCAGGATGATGATACGCTGGCCTAGAGGGAGGCAGGGAGATGGCAGGAGATGGCAGGGGCGGGCACGACCTCATAGGTAGAGGAAGCTACTGTCTAAAGTCCTAGTTTTCATACTGAACAGAAGATTCAGAAATGCTTACCACATTATTAAAAACATCAATGTAGCAAATAAAAGAGCCATGTTATATCATGAACCAAAGATTAACCCAGTTTTGTGTACTTGAGTTCCAACAGGGAGAGAATATTCTTGCTTTAAGAGTAGCAGAGTCAGGGCGCCTGGGTGGCTCAGATGGTTAAGCGTCTGCCTTTGGCTCAGGTCATGATCCCAGGGTCCTGGGATCGAGTCCCGCATCGGGCTTCCTGCTCCTTGGGAGCCTGCTTCTCCCTCTGCCTCTCTCTCTCTGTCTCTCTGTCTCTCATGAATAAATAAATAAAATCTTTAAAAAAAAAAAAAAAAAAGAGTAGCAGAGTCAAAAAAAGAGTAGCAGAGTCTCCATTTACTAAACATAATGAACAGTGACAGTCATTAAAATTTGCTGTATTTGATTAGAAGCAACAAAAACTAAAGGATAAAAACTCCAGAAACAGATTCAGGCAGATGATCGTAAGACACTAATATTGACCTGGAACAAAACAAAGATAGTGTTTGCTCAATAAAAGTTTGACATTTCAACTTTATAAGTAGAATTAATTTAGATCCACTCCTAAGTTGGATTCATAACTCCTTAAATGGTGACGAGTACTTATTAAACCATGAGAGTACATACATATTTAGATACTAAAGAAAAACTAATCAGAAGCAAAACCAACAGACTTATTAGTTATCACTAGACTTGGTAGATGAATGTTTTAACAGTCCTTGTGTGATAGATACTTTTTGCACCAACAATAAAAGGGACAAAACAGAGTAAGTTTGACAAACATAACTGGCAAAAGCTTACCTTCTGAAGTGAACAAAGAACCTCACGATCATTATGAAAATCAATATGGAATTTCATATGGTAAGTGGTCAAAGAGGAAAAGGCAGGTGGTAAATCAAATGGTAAAACAGACTAACCATTAAGTTCAAAAATATGGATTAAGACTACCGAAGTACTTTTAAAAGTAGCAATAAATAGTTCATAACATTGGACTTGGCAATGATTTCTTGGAAAGCTCAGGTAACAAAATTAAAAAAAAGATAAACTGGACTACATGAGAATTAAAAACTTCTGGGCATCAAAGGACACCATCAACAGACTGAGAAGGCAACATACACAATGAGAGAAAATATTTGTAAATCACAGATCTGATAAAGGGTTAATATCTAAAATATATTTGAAGAACTACCAATCAATAACAATAAAAAAATAACCCAGTTTTAAAAATGGGCAAAGGACTTGAAAAGATTATTTCTCCAAACAAGACATACAAATGGCCAACAATCCTATAGAAAGATGCGCCACATCACTAATTATTACGGAAATGTAGATCAAAACCACAAGCAGACAGCACTTCACACCCAGTAGGATGGCCGCTATTTCAAACAGCAACAGGGAACAAGTGTTGGTGACAATGTGGAAAATCGGAATTCTTGCAAACTGCTGGGGATGTACAGTGGCGCGGCTGCTATGGAAAACTGTGTGGCTCCTCAAAAATAAAAAATCGAAATACCGTATGATCCAGCAATCCCACTTCCGCGTGTATCGCCCAAAGAAATGAAAGCAGGGTTTCCAAAGGTATTTGTACACACATGTTCAAAGCAGCATTATTCACAATAACCAAAAAGGTGGAGGAACCCAAGTGTTAACTGACAGATGATAAATAAGATGTTACATACCATGGAATATGCTTCCGCTCGCTTATTTATTTAAAGTCATCTCTACGCCCAACCTGGGGCTCAAACTCACGACCCCGAGATCAAGAGTTGCACGCCGTACGGACTGAGCCAGCCAGGCGCCTTTGTTTCAACTCCTTTAAGGAGGAGGAAAATTTTGACACACGCTGTAACACAGATGAGCCTTGAGGACGTTATGCCAAGTAAAATAAGCCAGTCACAAAAAGACAAATACTTTATGATTCTACTTAACACGAGGTACCTAGAGTAGTCAAACTCAGAGAGAGAAAAACAGAATGACGGGTGCCAGGGGCTAAAGGGATAAGTGAATGGGGAGTTTACTGGGTATAAAATTTCAGTTTTGCAAGATGAAAAAGTTCTAGAGATTGGTTGCACAACAATAAATTGAACTCTACTCAACCGTTGCACTTAAAAATGATTAAGAAGATAAATTTTACGTTACGTGTATTTTACCACCATTTAAAAAACCTGACGTTGGCAACTATGTGGGGAAAGGGATATACTCACAAGAGGAAATGTAAGCTTTCCGGAGAGTATCTGAGTATCTGAGTCTGTGACAAGAGCTGTAAAACCACACACACTCACGGACCAAGCAACGCCACTCTGGGGAACAAACGGGACACCAAATTCATAGAGATGCTCACAGCAGGCGCCATCTAAAATAGTCAAAACACTGCTTACAACTTAAGAGACTTGACTACACATCCTACAGCCTAAGCGCTGTGGGATAAAATAATGCAGTTGTTCATTTGATCTTTTTTGAGATCATGGACTTCTTCAGCAAGCAGTTTGAGCATTCACAGACCTCTAGAAGCCCATCTGTGGCATTCTTGTGGGAGAACCAACCACCCGGAGAAAAAGCCACTTCCAATCTGTTTGTGGATTCCGCTGATACAGGGAGATGTGGATGGAAACAAAATTAAATGCAAGACCAGAACAGACCAGAACAGACCAGATTATGCACACTGACTGTCGTTCCCTAAGAGGCTCAGAGCAAGGCAGGCAGGTGCCTAGAGGGCAGGGACAGGGCACCGGGACCAAGGGGTCGGCCCTGAGGCTGGGCAATAAAGGAGAGGAAGGCTGCACCGCCACCCGCGTGTGCCCAACACGCCCATGCCTTTACCGTCACGGCGCAGATGAGGGAAGCAGGCTTGATGGGTGGGCTTAAGTAACTTGTTCTGGTTCGTAAAGCTGCTGAGTAGCCAAGTCAGTAGAACCCAGATCCATCTTTGTGTACCTGCTTTTGACACCCCGCCCCGAGGGGGTTTGCCATAGGTCCCAAACAATTAGGATGGCGAAATGGGGAGCCAGGGGGGAGCAACAACCAGGACCCCACTAGGAGACCATACCAGCCTGTCCCCACGGTCCTCTCCATTGTGACAACAACCCTCATGGCCCACAGGACTCTGCCACTCACTCCATCATGGAGCCCCAGGGAGGCCGACACTGGGAGGAGAGCAAGCTCCGGCGGCTCTGAGAGCGCATCAGCCCCCGCCCCCAGGCGGCACAATGAACTCCAGCTGCAGCCCGTGTGTAAATGTAAAAAATGAACCATAAGTGTCACAATATAGAATATTTATATACTTCTGGGGTGGGAGAGATCTAAGCACAACGCCAAGTACAGAAACTGTAAAGAGTGATGACCTCAGAAAACCGGTATCACTTGTGTGTGTCTGAAACACAATAAGCAAAATGAAAGGCAATCTATAAAACCAGGAAAAATATTTGCATCAAACATAGGTTATTAATAGCCTTAACATGTAAGTGCTTTTACAAAATAACCAATAGGAAAACGATCAGGAAGCCGAAGCTTGTGTGTACTTGCGCACGCGCGCACACACACACGTGCACACACACGTGCACACACACAGAATCACACACACCATTGCCGATGGCCAATCCACACAGACGTTCAGTCTCAGCAGCAGCAAAGCAACACCCCAGTAAAGTAGCCTGGATCCCCCCAAGGATCTAAGTTTTTTGTTTTTTTTTTTTAAGATTTTATTTATTTGAGAGAGAGAGACACAGCAAGAGAGGGAACACAAGCAGGGGGAGTGGGAGAGGGAGAAGCAGACTCCCCGCCGAGCAGGGAGCCCGATGCGGGACTCGATCCGAGGACCCTGGGATCATGACCTGAGCCGAAGGCAGACGCTTAACGACTGAGCCACCGAGGCGCCCCAGGATCTAAGGTTTTTAACATGGCAATACCTGTTCTATGGAAAAGGGTAAACAGCCAGGTTTACATCAATGTGAGAAAACAAATTTAAAAAACCCCTCTCAGGAGGGCTACTCAGCACCATGAATGAATCTTAAGTCCTAAGTTTGACACAGGCATTTCATATATTCACGTATCCCAAAGAAGTCATATCAGATGACTTCAGAGAAAGTGTGAGTTACAGGGAAGGTTATCACAGCTTTACTACCTGAGAGAAAAAAAACCAACTGGAAAATAATTTATGTCATCTAAAGGAGATTGTTTAAACTGATACAGCCACACAGTGGAGTACCTCACCACCACAAAAGATGCTTCGAATGACAGGAAAAGAGGTTCACTATATGTTAAGTGAAAGGAGCTGCAAAACAATTTACAGTATAATCCCATTTTTGTTAAAAAAAAATGCATATCCTATGCATAGGAAGAAAGAAACCTCTAGAAGCAAATATGCCAGTAACAGATGATTACTGAGGATTTTGTTTTTTTCCAATTTTATTTGTGAACCCCACGATAAACCCTTTTTATATACGAGAACTCAGTTAAGAGTTAGTTAAAAGAGAGGGAAGGAGGTACAGAGCTGGGCGGCCTGGAGGGTGGAGGCCCCCAGCAGAGCAGGCACTGTCCTACCCAGTGGCCAAAAGGTAGTGGAGGGGACACCCACCACAGCAAGGTAAAGGCCACGCTCCCGGGGACATACACCTTCACAAATTTTTGTTTTGGGTTGTTTGGCTACCTTCCTCTTGACACTTCCAGACTGCATCAGTATAGTTCTGTATACATACATATGAACATTTAAAACATACAAGAATCCGTAAGCCTGTTTTTGCATTTCATTTAGTATCAGCACCGCACAATAAAAAGCACTGCACGAGACCAGAGGTTAACATTTCCGCCAGAGACTTAGCGACACACGGAGGCAAGGTTCGGCATAAAAGGTCCTACAAGTCCCTTAATGTCCATGGTCAATGACACAAACCAAGGGCGGCTGACAGGGCGGAATAGGGGGCCGTTAGGGTCCAATCCCCTTTGTGACGCCGACCACTCCCGCAGTGTCCAACCTGGGCCCGCAGAGGAGCCTCCACCCATACTCACTCTCAGGCTATTGTCCTTTTTCAGAGGACTTCCAAACGCGCTTTTTGCTATCCTTATGCCCCATCACTTTTACTTTGCACCAGATCACCATTTGCTACCTAATGGATTTCACCGTATCATCCACTGCCTGTGGGAGTTCAAGAGTGAAGGCTCAATTTTATGCACCAGAATGCAAACTGATTAGCAAAAATCACCAACACAGCCATCCACAGCTGCAACCCATCCCACTTGACCTGAGAGTAAGTGCACATAGACAGGTAGAAATCTCTTTCACTGACCATCACAGGCGCCCCTGGATTGGGTGGAGGCTAGGAGGCCTTCAGCTGCCTGCTCTCAGCCAATGGCAAACATTTACACCCTTATGGAAATTCTTTATCAGCCCATCACAGTTGCTAGGAAACGGTGACATTTAGAAAGGCATTTATAGCAGTTACCCTCAAGGCTGGAAGCAAGAGTTTCATAATCACCATGTAAAAAATGAGGAGGAACCAGTTTGGCATAAAGGGCAGGGCGGATGGGGGAGGGCTGGGGTACAAAGCAGAGAGAAGAGTTAAGTAGGAAAGGAGACCTAGGTTGTTCCAGGGGGATCAAGAACCAGAGTGGCAAGCAGGGAAAGGATCCCCAAACCCACAAGCAGCGGCCCCCACTCACAGCAGCGCCATGACCTCCCCCACAATAGGCCCCTTCCTCCTCCCCAGCACCCAACTCCAGGTTCTTGGAAGCAGGCGCATCAGGGTTCTTGAGGACCCACAAGCAGGCCACCTGGATGCAAGGACTGAGGGGACAGCCAGTCCCACAGCTGCTCTCCTGGAGGAATTCTTCAGGCCAAGCTCCCCCCCCCCCCCCCCCGTTTAGGTCACAGTGCTCATCTGTTCCCAATTCAGGTCTTAGCTCCCCTTCAAAGGCGAGCTTCCCTTTCAGCTCCCTCCAAAACAAAAGCCTTCTTCACAGAGCCTGGTGGCAGTTTCTAGTCTGAGCCCGAAGTCTGTCTCCTGTGAGGCAAAACCTTAGGGCCCACGGGTAAAGGCACCAGAGCAGCAGGACTTTGCTCCCCGGATGGAGCTACCACCACCTCCCCACCCAGGAAACACAATTCAGAGTCAAGAGGCAAACTGCTTCCAAGAGCTGCTTCTCATGCCCTCTGCATAACCTTGGCCTGCTTCACGCAGCAGGTACACACGAGCCCAAACTCTTGTGTCACCCAATAAAGAGCCAAACCAAACTCTTTAGTAGAGAATTATGTGCTTAGACCCACACCCAGTTCCATTCCAGCCTCCCCCACACCACAAATACGGAAAACATGTATTACACGTGTTGTATTCTTCATACGTTTTCCCCTAAGCAATGATAGGCCCCCTTTCTGACAACACCATTTGGAAATCTAACCAGTTAAAGTTCCAGGATATTACAAAGTATGCCCCCAGCACCTTGACACGGACCTTCACCAGCTGTCAGGTTCAGCAGCACATTTTGCACAACCATTAGACACCCCGACAGTGAGCGGAGGAGCCCCCATTGCCATCCACCAGGCTCCATACCATTCAAGACATCCCAGTTCTGTTTGAGGTTACCACGCTCCACTAAATGACCTCAATTATTTAAAGCTCCTAAAGAGCAAATCACAGCCTAAATCTACAGTAAGAAAAATACATCCAACTTCATTAAAGATAACTTGGTTTACAGAAAAGATAAAGGTCAAAAAACGTAACATACCAATACAACAATTAACGAGTTTAGAACTCAAACCTTTATTTGTGCTGTAAAGAGGGGAAGAAAATGATTAGTAATCCCATACATGATGCAACAGAGAGCTAGTTTTTCTGACAGAGCAACACAGAAGTACTCGAACCAATACACCCATACATATTTCCCCATACAGACATGACCAATACTCTTTAAATTCCTAGGACAGCAGTTTCATCGTACCCAAGTCACCGATTAAAAGCTGGACTATACCAACAGATTTCTAAACATTAAAAAAGAACCCAGAAGACAGAAATCCCAAAGGCTTATACTGGGGAGTTTAAATTTAAATTTGAATTTAAGGGGAAGAGGAACAGGATCAAAAGCCACTGGTTATTACCTCACCAATTCAATAAATGCATCTCAAAAACAAGAATCACCATAAATGGTTTTTCAGATCCTTCTCTGAATTTTTAAAAACAGACCACATCAAGTATAGGTTCCCCACCCCAACCCCCCCACCGCCCATTTTGTTTATTCCCCAAACTGATTTTGACTTGAGAGTTGCCCCGCAAAAAAAGCAAACATTCAAATTAAAGATACAATCGGTTAACACTAACCTCTGTAAGGGTACATGGATTGTTTGCTACCAAGTATTACAGGGACCACAAAAAAGTTATTCTGTTACAAGAACTAAGGTAATAGCAACAATTTTTACTTTGCTCTTAATACAGACCACAAAGAGGAGAGATTTTATAAAACAAAGTTCCTTTAAAAGCCATTGCATTTTCATTTTGCTCAAAATTTTCAATCACAAAATCTCAGTAAATAGAAACGTTATAAACCTGTTAAGAGTACATCTAAATCTCAAGTGCACACCAAAATTTTAAATTTACTTTTTTTTAAAATTTAAGTACTTTAAAAGCTTACAACTCGGGCATTTAGTCTTTCCTAAAATTTCTAGCTCCAACACTGACTGTACACCTTCACATAAACCACTGAAGAAGCTAGTGAAGCAGTGAAGGTTATTACTCAGCCGGTGTGAATTTCTGTACCCCTCCCCCACTTTCAAGAGATGGGCATTCCTGTTCAATTACAGCTTTTCAGTCTTCCCCACCTAGCAGCAAAGCAAATTTTGCTTTCCCTGCATTTAGCAGATTTCTAAAGGACTTTTTAAAGTTTCTAAGCAATTTTTGTGCTTTCAAGAGACAATTTAACCAGCATTAACTAGTACTTTCTTTGCCCAGTTGTCTGTTATATTCCCCAGAGCTCTACTTGACCTTTTTTTGCCAGAATTCCTTTCAACCCACATTCCCTACCACCCCCACCCTCTGCAGCATATACCTAAACCCAACCCTCTCCCTTTCCTTACCCCCACCCCTCCCAGTACCAAGTCAAGGTGTGCCCCACCCCCACCTCTCACACCTCAGGGTCCTCCCATTTAAAGATTACTTTGAAAACTACATCAAACAAAATTCACATTAAAAAAATACATAGAAGAATCAAAGATAACAGTACCCCAGCTATTCTCCCTTCGCTTAGTTACCTGCAATGCAATTGAAAGGCCCAAACTAGACCTGCCATTTCTAACAGAATTTGGCCACAACCAACTTCTACCCCCAAGACTGTAGCATAACACAATAACCGCCCCCCCAATTTGCCAGTATGCTTCATTTAAGTATCGCCTAAGGCATTTCAAATGTGAACACTTTCCCAAAATACAGGTTAAACCATCACACTAATTCCTCCAACCAACGCACAGGCAGGCAGGCTGGCGGGCTGGCGGGCGGGCGGGCGGGCGGGCGGGCAGGTGAGAGGGTCACTGGGCTCCGTCTGCAAGATTCATCTACAAGGCATCCCTCTGCTTGTGGCATGTTAAAACGTCCTACAGCTTAAGAATCTTCTTGAAGCAAAGTTCGTAGCCCAGAACCAGTTATGACTGGAGGCTCAATTTAGAAGATGCAGCATCTGAAAACCTCCACCCCAGGAAAGGAGGGGTGCCTGCTGGCATCCACATGCCTGGAGGTTGGCGCTCCCGGATCAATCAATGCAACACATCTGCGGATGGCCCGATGCATCTGCTTTGGACTTTTAATGATTGACCCCTCATAAGCTCATCTGAAAACCTTAAACAGCCTCCTGAATACAGGGCTTCCTGAGCAAGGCCTGGAAACGGGACATCGGAGAACTTCCACCTCCTAAGCCTCTGGAAATTCCATCTGCAGACATCAATTTAGGCGGGCTCTCTCCTTCAGGGTCTCCCCTCCTGCACTGCTATGACTCACACTGGCCAGGGGCTCCATTTCTCCTGGGTGCCATCTGATCACCACGATGAACACTACAGTAACAAACCATGGTCCATGAGGCATTCTGTAAACTTCCAGCTGGTGCCCTTACTGCAGGCCCACCCAAGGTACACATCCGATCCCCACCCTCTCTGCAGGCAAGCACCACCACCCCATCCCACCCCGAGTCTCAGCAGGGAGGGCCTTTCCTCCTTCACGATTACCAACACAACCGAATTTCTCAGGGCCTTCGGCAACTTTCCCAGGCTTACCAGGTTACCAGAAGCAATGTTTTAAGCGAATGGATAACCTCAAGAAAGTTAGGAGGAGGAGGAGCAGAGTGAGCTCACAGAAGTTAGCACCGAACCTAGAGGAAAAGTCCAAAGGGGAGCACTGACACCTGGAAAATAAAGTGTGGGTCAATTTTGTCCACAGACACACAAACATCCTGCCTCAGCAGCCCCAGCCTGTCAGACATCAGGCGCCACACCAATTAACTGTTTAGATGGCACCTTGCCTCCTCAATCACTCCGGAGACCACCCTCGCCTCCAACAAGGGGTCTGGCCTCACACCCAGACCCGGGTTCCACCAGGCTGGCCACGGCCGGGACCCTGTCCCAGGCCGAACCAAAATTACATACCACCCTGGGCCAGAGCGGTCAGCCCCGCCAAGCTAAGTTCAGTTTCCACAAGACCAGGCCTCATCCCCACGCGGGGTCGCAGCCTTCTGAAAGAAAAGGGGGCTGCTGGTATTGACAAGTTCAAGGTCTGCCCTCCCAGCCCACCTGCAGCCCTACAACCCACTGCCTTCCTTCCTGATCGTTCTCCTGGCATCAACTGCCCAGTTCCGCTTCCTCTCCAGCAAGGGTGGCGAGATCCTGTCTCCTCTCGCTTCTGCCTTCCTCCTCCCACACAAACCAGGACACTGGGGCTCGCTGGGGCCACACAGGGCAGCGCCCTCCTAGAGGTCAAGTTCCCCTTCTCCAGAAGGCAGCGACAGTCCAGCCTGAAGGGCTGTCCTCCGCTGGGTCACTGCGGTAGCTGTCAACGCAACTCTCCCCACCATAGTTTCCCCAAGGTCTAGCTTCCTCTTTAGCCTTCCTTGTCCTTGTACCCCAAACCCCTTCAGTCTCATCTGTCATCTCCCCCATCTGTCCCCTGAGGCCCTAAACTGGCAACTTCCTCCCCACCACTAAACCCCACGCCACGGCCCTCCCTGTCGCTGACTCCTGATGGACAGGCCACAACTTTTGCTTTTATAGCCCCGTGCCGCGTCACTCGGGGGCATTACTCAACGGGACGATTCCTCCACCGCCACGGGGGGAAAAAAGTCCCTCCCCGACCCTGCCCAAGGAGACGACTCGGGCGGGTCTCTGTCTCCCCCCTCCTCCGCCTCCCCCGTGTCCACCATCTGGGTTCCCCGGTTACTCGCGGTTCCCCTTTAGCAGTGCTTCGTGACACGCGGGAAAAAATTTCAAGGTCACATTGGGGATGCGATTTCCGTGCGGGAGAAGCCCCCTCTTCCTTCTTGGGGGATGAGAGCGTAGGAACAGCGCTCCCTGAAACGGGGGGGCAGCGTGCGGGAAGCGGGCTGGGGCCGCACTCCCGAGGGGGCCGACCGAAACGCTGGGGTCGCCTCAGGTCACCCGGCCCCGCACAAGCCCGAAAGAAGGGCCGGCAGAGCGTCTGGAAAATTCCAGGAGGCGGCGGCGGAGGGATCTCTGCGGAGGGCGCATCACTGCCGGCGGCGGGTGGGGGCGGGGCGCCTCCGCGTGACTCCTCGGGCGGTGGCTCGGCCTCGCCTCGTGAGCGCCGGTGACGTCAGCGCCGAGGCGCGCGGGTGGGGGCGGGGCGGGCCGGCGGGAGGGTTCGGGACCCTCCCCAGGGAAGCTGGGGGCTGTCCGAGGGTGGTCGGCTGTGAACCGCACACGGAGCTGCGCCTGTAGCGTCCCTGCTGGAGAAACTCTGCTGTGATTTGTGTAGGATTAGAAATGGTTGGGGGCCAGTTGAGTAAAACGTTGAGCCCCATGAGGTTGCTGCGTGGTGGCTTGTGGGGAGTGTGTTAGGTTTTGTTATTCTCTGTTACCAGGGGCCTGAAGGCTTGAAGTATTTCATAAGAAAACTCCGTCCTGGGATAGGCTACCTAGTGATTTTGCATGATGTATTAAGCGGAAATAAGAGGTTGCAAAATAATGAGGTCAAAGTCTTGTTTATGCGGAACACAGTACAGAACTGCATGGCTACAAGACCAAACGGGTGTAGATGCTCAATCCATTTTGCTTTTGCAATCGGAGGTAGGGGAAAAGGGAGACTTTAAAAAACAAACAAAAAAAACCCCCTGCATTTGTCCAGGGCAGTTTACAGCCAGTGATGGGCCTCAGGGAGCCCATTTGATGACTTGGGGGCACTGCTGGCTGGCTGCTTACAACAAGGCCTCCAACCTGGGTCTTTTTTTTTTTTTTTTTTAAAGATTTTTATTTGTTTGTTTATTTATTTGAAAGATATTTATTTATTTGAGAGAGAAAGAATGAGAGACAGCATGAAAGGGAGGAGGATCAGAGGGAGAAGCAGACTCCCTGCTGAGCAGGGAGCCTGATGTGGGACTCGATCCAGGGACTCCAGGATCATAACCTGGGCGGAAGGCAGTCGCTTAACCAGCTGAGCCACCCAGGCGCCCCAAGATTTTTATTTATTTGAGGGGCGCCTGGGTGGCTCAGTCATTAGACGTCCGCCTTCGACTCAGGTCATGATCTCAGGGTCCTGGGATCGAGCCCCACATCAGGCTCCCTGCTCGGGGGAAGCCTGCTTCTCCCTTTCCCACTCCCCCCTGCTTGTGTTCCCTCTCTCGCTAGTCTCTGTCAAATAAATAAAATCTTAAAAAAAATTTTTATTTATTTGAGAGAGCATACATGAGTGGGGAGGGGGAGAGGGAGAGAGAATCTCAAGCTGGCTCCATGCTGAGCATGGAGCCTGATATGGGTCTCGATCCCATGACCTTGAGATCAGGACCCTGAGATCACCACCCAAGCAGAAACCAAGAGTCAGATGCTTAACCAGCTGAGCCACCCAGGCACCCCCAACCTGGGGCTTCTAAAGCAGAGGCAAAAGCAAACCCCTTCGATTCTCAGCCCCTCCACCTAGGCCAGGCCAGGCCTGAGCGCTTGGATGAGGCTTTTGCAAAGGGCAGTTGGCATCTCCTCAGCAGGGTGAGGTGGAACCACAGCTTGAGACCCCCATGTGGCTTCCGTTCAGCCCCGGCCCTGGGAAGCATAGGATGGAAGAAGGACTGTGGTCAGATTAGCCAGAAGTGAGAAGAGCTTCTTAGACCAACTCCCTGCCAGAAAGTCTCCTCCCAGGGTAACCACCCACAACCCAAACAAAACCTTCCCTGACAATAGGCTCCCTTGGCAACTGGGAGGAAACTGGGAAAGAATTCTTCCCCAACCTCAGTGAGATGGCATCTGTAGGTGGGGCTGGGCTCCCCCTTCCTGTGGTTCTTGCAAAACTGATGAGTCTCATGTGACCCTCAGCACTGAAGACTGAGTTTGAGGCAGGCCCAGGCTTGTTTACCAGCCGCTGCTTAGCTGAGCTCTTTCTCCTGGGAAAGATTCTGACAGCTCACCCTTCATCAAGACCTGCCCCCTCAGTCTAGTCATGGCAACGTTTCCAGGGGTCGATTGGAGAGACTTGGCCTGAAAGAACAGTGTGGGAAGAGGGATTTATTTATCAGAATGTTCTAGAAAACTGTGAGGTGTGTATAATACTAAGCAAATTCCTTTCCTGCTGTGTCACAGTACCAGGTGGTGGGGTCAGCCCTTTATTTATCTACAGGGCGCCTGAGAGATAGACGTCACTGCTGTGTGTCTGCTTCCTGGGCCCAACTTGAAGTCTTAAGCTTGCTTTTCTCTACCTCTGGTCTAAAAATCACCCTCATTCAAACATAAAAATCCTAAGTCCCAGAAACAAACTTCCTTAGATTTTGTTTTTCAAAAAAGTAGGAGTAGGTGGAATAGCAACAGAAAACATTAGGATTTTACAAAGCTTGGGATTATCCGTCACAAAAGGAACTAAAGCCCTCTGTGCCCTTGTGTCTGGAGCTGCCCTGGCCACCCACTCCTCTTTTCTTTTCTTTTCTTTTCTTTCTTTCTTTCTTTCTTTCTTTCTTCCTTTTTTTTTTTTTTAAGATTTTATTTATTTGACAGAGAGGGACACAGTGAGAGAGGGAACACAAGCAAGGGGAGTGGGAGAGGGAGAAGCAGGCTTCTCTCGGAGCAGGGAGCCCGACATGGGGCTCGATCCCAGGACCCTGGGACCATGACTTGAGCCGAATAGATGCTTAATGACTGAGCCACCCAGGCGTCCCTACCCACTCCATTTTCAAGGACAAAATGGCAGTTTCAGAGGGTCCTTGTTTAGAGGCTCTCTTGGCCTCCAGTCCCACATAGCTGGTTTTCTTTGGGAAAGGGATGTACTTGAGGAGAGATGAGAGGAGAATGGTGTTAAAAAGAAACAACATGTCTAAAATGGAGTCATTTGTGCTAAGCCCCACCAAGATTTTTTTTTTTTAAAGATTTTATTTATTTATTTGAGAGAGAGAGAATGAGAGACAGAGAGCATGAGAGGGAGGAGGGTCAGAGGGAGAAGCAGACTCCCTGCCGAGCAGGGAGCCGGATGAAGCCCCACCAAGATTTAATACCTAACTCAACTGCAGCTTCAGACTGATTAGTTTGGAATTTCCTAATCAGCTATAGTGAGGTAGGCTCACATTATAAGGCCCCTTGCTCTGCCTCCTAAAGGAAGGTGACCTTGCTTGAAACAATGTCTCTTTTGCTAATATCCTTCTTGCCATGCCCTATTTCTGTCTATGAAACCCTTCTATTTTGTAGAGCTCCCTGGAGCCTCTTTCTGTTTATCAGTTGGAACGTTACCCAATTCATGAATCATTGAATATGGCCAGTTGGGTCTTTAAGTTTACTCAGTTGATTTTTGTTTTTTAATGGTAGAAAACCACACAGGGACATCCCTGTCCTGCCTTGGGGGTGGACGGGGGACGGGACAAGATAGTCTCACAGTAAGGTGGACAAATGTGGCGCCCGGTTCTGCCTCTTTTTCTGCAAATAAGGCTAAAAATACCTCCACCCTGGGGGAGGAAGAGAGCGGGCAGTGCGTCAGCAGATTTCTTTGGATCAAAACAAGCTGTTCCAGGAAGCGTCCATAAACAGGAACTTGGATTCCTGGGCGGGGCTGGTGATGGGTCCACCCGACTGGAGTGGGTGGCTGAAGCCTTCTCCTTCCTGGGCAGCCCACTTAGGAGCTCAGGGTTGGAGGGGAAAGAAGGACAGGAAAGGGCCCGTTGGGCAGCATCTGGATTTTTCAGAGTCAGGACCTGGATTCCAAGGCCTTTCTCACAGCCATGGCCGCCTCCCCATCTTGTTCTGAAACCAGCTCTGACTTCTGTTTCCAAACACACACCAGCCTAGGAAAGCACCCAGGAGATTTCCTTCAGGAGCCCCTGGAAAGGGGAGAGAAAAAGGGCGAGAAACCGGTAGTATTTCAGGTTCGCACCAAGGGCAGGGCAACTAGAGAATGTGCCAGAACCCTGCTCCCGTTCCCACAGGTCCAGTTTCAGAGCTGTGGCCGCCCGGGTCACCCTGGCTGTCCATGCACAGGAGCCCCTCTCGGCTGGGCCTTTTCCCTCTGAGCCATGAGGCCCCTTGCCTCAGAGCCTGGGAGAGGAAGCTGCACAGTCAACTTGTGCTGGCTGGGAGCCCTTCCTGCCCTGCCTGGCCTTGCCTCACAGGGGCCCATGTAGGACCCACAACCTGCCCCTGCCCAGCTCCCACCAGCCTCTGCTGCCCCCGGGGGGTAGCTTGGCTAAGCTCGGCTCAGACACCCAGCCCCCATCTCACAGGGTGGCCCTGGGCCCGCTCTTTTTTTTTTTTTTTTAAAGATTTTATTTATTTAGAGCACACGAGCAGGGGGGAGGGGGAGAGGGAGAGAGAGAAACTTTTTTTTTTTAACGATTTTATTTATTTGACAGAGAGAGTGAGTACGAGCAGGGGGAGCGGCAGGCGGAGGGAGAAGCAGGCTCCGCGCTGAGCTGGGAGCCCGACTCGGGACTCGGGACTCCATCCTGGGATCATGACCTGAGCCAAAGGCAGACGCTTAACCTTAACTGAGTGAGCCACCCAGGCGTCCCCTTGGGCCCACTCTTAACCTGTCCCACACATTCTTTTCTCGGATCCACTTCATAATTCTGACCAATATCATTATGTCTGAAGTCCTTCGCACAGGGGCCATCTGGCCCGGCCGTCCCTCCGCCGCTTCAGGCCTCTGCCCAGAGGTCACCTTCGCAGTGGGTCCTGTGCCCGCCCTGGGACTTGAGCTTCTTGAGGGGGGCGGGTTTCTGTTTGTTCTGCCCTCCGCTGGATCCCCAAACCCGCAGTCCCTGGCACGCGGTGGGCCTCAGTAAATGTGTTGACAAAAGCAGTCGATGTTTTGTAAAGGTCGCTCTGTCTACTATGAGGCTCTCGACAAATATTTGTGATATTGGCAGACTGAAGGAAGGAAATGGGTGCCCAGGTCAGCAGCAGCCCCACAAACTCAATGACAGGCCCAGATTTGGGGGTGCTCAGGGGAAGGGGGCAGGTGGGTCTGGGGCACGCTTAGGGACAGCGGGGCCTGTCCAGCCTGGATGCCCAGGTCAGGAGACAAGGACAAAGGGGCCCAGCAGCTCACCCTGAATGCCTGGGGCCAGCTGAGGAAACTAGGGGAACGTGTCTCTGCTGGAGCCGGCAGAAGGCATTTGAGGGAGAGGGTGTTGGGGTACAGACACCCTAGAGCCTGGTTTATAAGGCAGAGGAGGAGATGGACCTACCTCCCTACATTTCATGCTCAAATTTTCTTAGCCCGTGTGCACCACAAGGCAGGCAGCCAGAGGGAGGCAGAGCAGGGAGGGGATCCTAAGGTAGGAGAGGGGTCCTTACATATTTGACTTTTGTCTCTTGTCAGGGGACGGGGCCTTTGGGCTCTCAGTCCCTGAAGCCCTTTCCTGAGGCCCCCCAGCTCCCAGAGCCAGACTTTGCACCTTGGCCACGCCTCCGGGAAACAACTTGGATGGTGTCAGTCCCGGCATCTGGAGCTCCTGGACTCCCTGC